GAATATACAACAAAACTCAAATGTCTGGCAGAGCAGAGAGTGAAGGGCTTGTCTCTAGAATCTCTAGATCAGGTGTGGGGGAACTCCAGGCCTCGAGGGCCGGTGTCCTGCAGGTTTTAGATGTGTACTTGATCCAACACAACTGATTTAAATGGCTAAATTACCTCCTCAACATGTCTTGAAGTTCTTTAGAACTAATCACGTGATTCAGGTGTGTTGACCCAGGGTGATGTCTAAAACCTGCAGGACAGAACTTATTCAACTGAACTGTCCGAAAACATACTACAGACTCAAATCGTTTGATTTTTATTTGTAAAGCACCAAATCACAACAACAGTCACCTTAAAGCACTTTATATTGTAAGGTAAGAACTCTAGAATAAGAAAGAGAAAACCCAGCAATCAGAAACCCCTTATGAGCAAGCACTTGGCGATAGTGGGAAGGAAAAACTCCCTTTTAACAGGAAGAAACCTCCAACAGAACCAGATAAAGGGAAGGGCAGTCATCTACTGCAAACAAACTGCAGTATATTGAGGCATGAAACCCAAGAGAGCTACATCGTGGTTGGTAACGTAAGTCATCCAACATGAATTCAGGCATCCATAAAAGTGCAGCTGCGCATGCATCCAGCTCACAAAGACGCACTGAAATCACAAATGCAATCGCACTCCACGTGCAGTAACGACAGTGAGTTACGAACACTTCAGGAAAATGGTCAACACACCGGACAAAAGATATGTTACCCTCGCACAATTATTCCAAAGTGGCAACACCTGTGCTGTATGCAAACCTTGGAGGGAAAATAGATTTCTCACAGCCGTCGAGTACTTTGCTAGGGGTTTTATTGACAACCTTTTTATTTTGCTTCTAGAGATGCACTTAGACAAGGTGAACAAACACCTTATTTGTCTGCAAAGATGAATTTACGGATTAATTAACAGGAAACAGAACACAAAATAAAGGTGCCCTCTTGCTCTGCAGGGCATTTTCTTTTTAAATCTATTTTACTTTTTTCAAAGAGGTGCACTGTATTTAGGTGAATGAGGACAAAGATCTGTACATATATGGAAATGTAATATCAGTGTTCTGTTTACGTGAAAGTGCAATAAAAACACATTTATCACTAAAATCAATGAATAATTGGACAAATAATGTGGATCTCCGTACTGATAAAAATAATTGTTGTCCATAATCACGGAGCCTTACTGCAAATTAATACCACTGACATTATTAGCCTTGCTTCCCAATGGTAACCCTTCTTTCTGACCTCCAAGTTAACCAGAGAAGTTGGTGTAGTGGTTAGCACTGTTGCCTCACAGAAGGCATCTTTCTGGGTCAAACCACAGTTGGAGTCTTTCTGTGTTCCTGCGTGGGTTCTCTCCAGCCACTCCAATTTCCTCCCACAGTCCACACATACAGTATGCATGCTAAGTTAATTTGCGATCCTAAATTGGCCATAGATGTGAGGTGGATAAAGTGCTTTAATTTTAAAAAATAGAGCAATGTTTGAGTAAAATGAGACTTACAGAATAAACACTTTGAGCACTCAGCATGACTAGAAAAGAACACCCTGTAACTGATCAAATAAATGTCTGTGATAAGGGCAGTGTAACTGAAGGCATACTTTTGTCTGTTGTGAAAAATATTCAAGTATTAATTTCTCAAGCTCTTTAGTACCTGATACTGTTGTGTTCTGGCTCATTGACTGATTGAGCGACTTTGATTTTAAAGAGATTTCTAATAATAAAAGCTTTGGTGAAACTCTCTTGAAAAAAACCCCCTTATGTTATCATACATCTTCCAGCTGCACCTAATTACTGATTTTGTTCATCTATATATGGATTTATGTGAGATTTCTTACCTTAGAAACCTACATGTTGCCATGGCGGTAAGTGCTATTTGTGTTTGGACGTGTGGTTTAGTCTGTGTGTTACAGATATTTAGCTGTAGCAAGGCGACGACACGAGTCTGCCAGCCATTGCTTTTGTGCAAATGTGCTAGAAGCTCACAGACTTGACACCGTAACAAAAGACAAGAACCGAAGACAATGTCCACGACCGAGCCAAAGCCTGTGTACCATTTGTAGTGCAGGTGTGAGCTTTTACGGTTATTATTTGCTTTGTGCCTCAGTACAACGTGCATCAAGGTCAGCCTCTCGCTTCTCTCAAACAGGCGAGTGGGGAGCGAAATGAAAAGACAGCAAGAGGTGAGAGAAACATACTGAGACAGAGGGTGAAGAGGCTGCGTGTGTGAAAGGTGTGACGTTAAGAGAAGGAGTGAATAAAAGGCACAGAGACCATGCAGAGTGTAACTAAAAGTGGCAGTAAGAACATGTGTCTAACCTCTGTCAGTGCAGTGTGCAGGGGACAGGCTCAGGCAGCAGTACAGGTAGCTGATGGCAGGCAGCAGGCTCTCTGTTTTTATAGGCTTCAACCTCCCTGCTATGTTACTCACTGACTCACACACACACACACACACACACACACACACATGAACACACGGGCATTATTTCTGGGAAATATACCTTTACTGCACAGCTGACCCTAAATGTAATGTAAAATATAGTCGAGTATCCAACAATTTTCTCACTCTTTCATCTATGATTTTATCTGCGGTGCTCTCAAGGATTTTATACAGGGGCATTCAGATGTGATGTAGCAGATAAAATGTAACATTGTGGGCTTTGTCATTTATTGCATGTCATGGTGCGTCAATAACAGTAAAAACGCCTGATCAAAACATGCCAAAAACATTGCAATTTAAAGGGGTTCAGTATAGCAGTATATCATTATTAAAGAACAACAAGACAAGATCCAAGAGTAACAGTTATCTTAAAGATCATGATAGGATATTTTTTAAATAAAAAAAGAAAGTGTGCTTGCAATACTCTAAAGAAACCATAGGGTTACTAGGACCCTTATTTGAGAAACGCTGCAAAAGACAGTGGGCTGAAATATACAACTTACAACTGAGGATGAGGCTCCAAATATACAGTAAAAAAAAAACAAGTGGTAAGTCACAGAGGGATGAGTGTTGCTGACATCAAGGCGAAAAGCAAAGCAAAGCCTTGTAACAGGCATGGAGTTATGAGTTACCGTCTAGTAAAGTTCAGTGCAGCATTTTGATCTGCAGATCAGCAGAAAACACTCCTCTGAGTATATTTGTGAGGATGGTATTAAATCAAAGGTGAGTGAGGAGTAATTGAAATACAGATGAATGCAGAAGAGGAAACAAACAGGACAACATTGTCTCTCTCGCTAGATAATTGTGTTGCTGTGTAGTAAGATGGCACGCCGGCGACGCTGTAAGAAAGGGAGATGCAGTCTCTGTGGATGACTGAGAGAGCGAGCTGACTTGTTTGCCTGCTGTCAGAGCTTTTCGTGGTATCACTGTAAGAGAAACTGTTTGCTGTAGCGATCATGTTGCTAAATCTGCCTCTTAACATCGGGGGCTTGAGCGGTTATTCGGATATTTTAGATAAATGCAGGGGAGAGAGAGCTGTGCTCAGCGTGACATGTCAGCAGCACCTTGGGGCCTCACCATGGTATAGCAGTTTGAAGTGCACTCCTTCCATATTACTGTAATGGGGAGATGAAGGTGGATCACTGGCCTGCGTCACACAAAGCAGCTTCAGCACCAGAGGGAGGGAGTTCACTGCTCCATAAAAACAGACACAAACAAAAACAAACCAGAAAAACATTGAAAAAGAAGGTAAGACAGAGGATGGAGTGTGACAGAGCGAAAGATGAGAACGACAATGAATTAGCATTTTCTCTCAAGTCATTACTTTAGTCTGGGACCTGTTGTGCACATCATTTGTCAACAAAGCCAAAACAGAGGACGTGGTCCAAACATGCACTCTATAGGATGAAGGATTTCTTGCATTCACTTGTGGTTTTTATGAAGTTTGGTTTCCCTAAGAGGGATTTCTGGAGCTAACACAAGTCATCGTGAAGAGAAAGGAATCAGGAGGAAATGACCACATCTTACTCAGAATGATTAAAAATGACCACACACACACTTTAGAAACCAATATTAGGTGTCTAGATATAGCTAGGATAAATGGTGGCGTGGCGTAAGAGGGTGGAGAAAAAGGACTGGAGGGGACAGGAGACAAAGGGCAGGGGGACTTTCACTGGAAAGAAACTTCAGGCTGAACAGTCATCTACATTCCCCTTTCACTGCTGTATTGCATAACATTAAAATATCTCCCCTTTGGGATGCCGCCGCACTAAAGCTAATATAAAGTATATATTAATGCAAATTACAGTGGGCTGAATTGGAACATGTGGAGGGATAACAGGCTGTAATTCCCTCAGGGCCCGGGATGAGCAGAAAGCAGGCAGAGGCTAACCACAGCAACAGTTTCTGAATCCCCAGCTGGCACGCTGCTGTTGTGCCCTTCAGCTGTGCTCATTAACCTGGGCAAGTACACAGATGTAATAACACCATACGGCAGACACCTATAACAAAAAAATACATTATTTGCACATTTGCATTTTTTTCATTGTTACAAACCTTCAATTTCAGCATTTATGTCATGGTTTTATGGTTCTAATAAAGATACAGCAGCCTTCTGAAAACATGTGAGGCCCGGATGCTAGTTTAGGCAGTCCACTCAAGCTAATTTATACCCGTGTGACATGCTACACTCTCCTCAAATTCTGTTTAAGATGTAAATGTCTCATCTCTCCCTCCAACATCTCAGAGTCTGCACTGCTGCCTGCAGTTTGACCCCTCCACCACCCCTGCATCCACCTGCAAGTTCCAGCAGGAGATTTTTTTTAACTATTTACTGTGTTTCACCAGGAAGATCACAGAGATCAAATCTCTTTCACCAGAGATCTAGCCAAGGCAGCAGTCATACAAGCTCATAACATATCAAAATATGCAACACACGCTCATGCTTTTGATGAGCTCCCAGCGCAGAGCCCAACATGTAGTTATATTAAAAATTCAAATGTGAACTGATTGAGTGAAATGGTAATAACGACCAATTCTACATATATAATTGTTTAATGTAAATTAAGTCAACAGAGAAGAGCCAAAAACACGTTTTTCCTAAATTTCCTTTGTTGGCTCCACAAGCAAATCCAAAAGCAAACGAATGGCTGTACACATCCATCATAAAATGCACAAATTCAGAGATGAAATAAACATGTTTACAAGCCTGGTAAACAAAATGTTCTAGCTGGTATAGCTAATGAATGTTCAGACATTGCCAGCTTTAGCCAGTCACTGTCTACTGTCCTTTAACTCCACAAACTGTAGCCAGTGAAGTGGACCTCTCCACCGTGTCTTTGGTTCATTTTGAAGTATTTTTAATACAATAATCTGACAAATAATTTGAACTGAAGCCTGTTACAGTTCATCCAAGAGGTTTATATGGCAGCTTTGGTGAGTGATTTGTAGTTTTAAATAATCTGGTATCTTTGGCTATGCTAGCATTATCTGATAACTTAGCATTCCAGAGAGTTAAGGTGGCTCCCACCATAAGACTTCAACCTGAAGAGTGCACAAACTGATGGGTGGCATCATGATGGCTACGTCCATCTACTAAATACAGTCTATAAGCAAAACAAGTGAAGTGAAATTGTCTGACCTAATCTGACCGTGTCCAGCTACACCCCAGTTTATGGTATCTCACCTTCCACTGCCTGTTCGAGGAATTCATTTTACGAGCGGTTTAAAGGTTTTTTCCTTCCAGCATTAATCAGAGGCGACGGAGACTTTTTCTTGCCATTTTAATCCAATTCAAAACTAACCATATTTTAGGAGGCTTTGTTATTCCAGTTCACTTAAAATGAGATCTATATGGCAGGATGGTTATAAGAAATAGCACTGCACTTAAACTGAGCACTGTGTCCAGCTGCTGCTAAGTCATATTCTAGGATATACCAAGCCTCATTCGATTGCCACAAATTTTTCTTTAATTTAAATCAATTCAAGTCAATATAATCTTTGTGCCCATGTTTGCTCTGCAATAAATGTTCTTATCTGAACAGCTGTGCTTTTCTGCAAATGTACTAATTTGAAAAAGAAGAAAAAACACAATTATCATTAAACAGCTCTTCCGCTATCTCTGAATGTCACTATAACAATCGTTTAAAGCAGAAAGAAAATGCTGCCAGAGAAAATGGACTCGCAAACATAAATCAGCGCAGGTATCCTTTCAAAAGTTGCTTTCCATATTTGAGAATAATTAGCCTAAGTGCTTTCCATTATATCACACAAGACATTGTGCCAAATGCTCCAATTAATCCGTGTACATTACTTAATAGATGTTTTATTATGGTATATGCCAACTGTTATTTTTAACCCCCAGTAAAACATCTTGGCACGCTCACGTCACGGTTATGGAGCAAAAGATGAATTGATTGTGAAGTTGTTTTTCTTTAAACAAAATACAAATGCATTTTTAATATATTACTATTCTACTAGCTTCCATTCGTTTTTGATTATTTATGCCAGAAGAACTAACAACATCTGCAAACACGAAGACGCATAAACTTGCTAAATTTCCCTAATTTAATTCAATTAAATTTGGTATCCTAGATACAGAAAAGCTCACCAATCAACAGCATGTTATCCTTCTTCGTTTGAGCTGTGGTGAAAAGCCTGAGTAATAAACTGTGTTAATAACTGTGGAGAGACAATAAATCAAAAATAGCTCTTTTTAATCTTTAAAAAATTAAAATCTTTTTTCTTTTCAAGTCAAAATGATGAGAAGGGCATCTCAAACCAAACAGCTCAGGTGTGGCTGCTGCTGCTTCACTTGGATAAATCTTTCAGTGTCTGCTGTGTGGGGAGAAAAAAAACCCGACATGCGTTTGATCTATTATGTCTCACTGTGTGGGAGCCGACTACCTCACCCTGCAGGTGGATGTGTTCCTGTGTACTGTGTGGATGAGCTTGTGCTGAGTGGGTTTGAAACAGCTGAAACTTTTATTTGCTACAAAATGTTTTCATTTGGATGACTAAGAAAGACGAACAAAACAGTGTCCCACATGATGAAACTCAAACTCTGGGGGCCGAGCTGCAACGTTTACCTCTATACATCGACTGTAATTAACCGTATCCGTGATTTAATGAGAGATAAGTGAGCATGAAGCCGAATCAGCTGGCATTAATGTCGATGCGCGACGCTGAGTGGTGAATTCATTCATTCAGAATGGTGAATCACTTTATGTGTGAGAAAATTAATCTATTAGTATAGTGCTGTGTTTTGTAACCACAGAGTCATAATTATTAACACAGTTATTAAGGCATTAGCGCTCATCCCTAAATTCGGGATCAAGGTTTAAAAAACAGAGCTGAGAACACATTTTCGGTGGAAGTAAACACAGAGTCTGAGAGGTCACGTTGTAAAGTGAAAATTAATTTATCAATATACTTTGAGTTTAAAAAAAGACAGTAATGTGCAAAAGTCTTGATCCACCCCTCATAAGTACATATATTAGAAATTATACTTGTATTAAAAATCTATCACATGGGACTTAAGAACCTCTACTTTCTTTATATTATGCCATTTTTGGAAAAAAGGAAATAGACACAGGAATTTATTGAAACGTGCAAACATACATGGAAATACAGAATATTATAAAGTCTATATTTGGCATGAGCACCTTTATTCTTTGACACAGTCTGGACTCTCTTAGGCAGCTTTCTTGTCATTTCTTTAAGCAGTCTTCAGGAATAGTTGCTTCTTTGGGTGTCGGCTGCCTTTTGTTCTGTCCTCTGCTTCAATAATGTTGCGGTCTGGGCTCTGGGAAGGAAAATCCATAACTGATAGTGTTCCACTGTGTGGTTTTTATCCTATCCAGGTATGCTTTTACTGCACTGGCAGTACGTTTGGGATCATTTATTATCGCTGAAAAATGAAGCCGTTGCCAATCAGATGCTTTCCAGATGGTACTGCACTATTCTGCGTTCATAATTCTATCAATCTTGACCAGATCCCCAACAACACTGTATAAAGTGCAGCCCCAAATCACATCAGAGCCTCCACCCGGTTTTACAGATGGCTGTAAACACTCACCATTGCACCTCTCTTGTAACCGCTGTACAGATGGATGATGATTTGCACCATAAATTTTACTTTGGATTCATCACTACATCAGACCAGTCGCCACTGATTTTCAGTCCAGTTCTTGTGTACATGGGCATATCTCAGCTTTTGTGCCTGTTTACCTTCACTATGAATAGCTTCTTGATGGCCACCAGGCTCAGGATTTGTTAGCTGTTCGTCAGACAAGATTAAACACTAGCGAGGACGGAGCCTTTCAGTCTGTGGCACCAAGGCTTTAGAACAGTCTCCCACTAAACTACATTTAGCCGATTCTGTGGACTCTTTTCAAAACCTTTTCTATTCAACAAGGCTGTTTAGATTCTTATTGCTATAACAGATTTTCTTAAAATTACCTGTTTATTTTTATTTTATTTTGTGCCTTAACTTCATTTTATATTAGCTCTGTTTAAGTAGATGAATCATCTGAAGGATCAGATAAATCTCTTTTCCTCTTTCTAAAGGGCATGCCTTTCAGATACTGCTTACCTACTACAGATAGTTTTTTAGGTCTGCCACTTCTTTCTTTCCTCCATTTGTCCATTTTCCTCATTTTTCTCAAGGACACACTGCACACTGTGCTGAGATATTGTTAGGGTCTGGGCAGGCTGTTTTCCCCTCTGTTTTCTCCTTCTGTCTCTCTCTGTTCTCTCAGACAGAGAGGTGGGCTTTACCTGTGTCTCCACCCACAGGCGAAGCCGCCACTCACGCACTTGCGCCCATTGCCTCATTACGGTACTTAAGGACCGGCTGAGGCAGTTGTTCTCTCAAAATTAGATCTTCCAGTTTAGTTTTTGCCGTTGTCTTTTCTGCTCTAATTCTCTTTCTTCGCCTGCCTGGAGTTCGTTGTTCGTTTCCTGGTGAAGCTACTTGTGCTCTCTTGAGGAGTCTAAAGATCACAGCTGGCCATTTTCCTCTTCCACTCTAAGAGTCAGTCAGCCCCTACCTGCCCACTCTCCATTAAGCTTTCTTCGCCTACCCTGGATTTCAGTCTGCCCACCTGCTACTCCTCCACGACTCAAACACAGAATCTAACAAGAGCTGAATAACCCTTGCACATCTCTATTGCTGCTACCTTCACTAACTACCAGTCTCCCTCTCTGCGGACCCTCTCTGGGCTCATCTGACAGAAACACTAGCTGCCTAATTGCTCATCTGCCTGTTGTTAACTTAATTCAGTCTCTAAATAAACCTTATAAGCCTTTTATTGTTGGTCTATGTCTGCTCCCAGTGTCTAGTAATTGCAACACCATACCAGATACACTAAGTTTTTAGCTAGCAGCTCTTTGGTAATCAACTTGGTGGCAGAAAAACACTATTTTACGCTAACTGTGTTAGCTTTGGCATTTTTCATAGTCAACTAAAGAAATGCAAACACTGTGGCTTTAGAGCAGGCTTCTAATAATGAAGTGCCAAAAGATGCAACTGAGAAGTGGCTCTTTGCTAGGATGTCTGTTATGTATAGACACACCACTGGTCCATCCCTTGAGTTACAGTAGGTACTTTTTTCTGCTTGAATGATGAATGACAAACAAACAAGCATCCCTGAAAATGTTCGGGTAGTCTGACTTGTCGGCAGCAAGAAAGCAAGAAAGACAGCAAGAAATGAGGAGTGGTTTGAGACTTTTGCACCGCACACTACACGCTGACTGTTTGTGTACATACACCTTTAAACATGTTTTAATAATAAATGTCTCTGCACACAGATACAACAGACAGGACGCCGTTCACAGCAGAGCCTACTTAAAAACTGTTGTGCTATAAAAACAATTGGAATCACACATATTATGCTAAACGCTTTCCCTGATTGAGGCACATTAACTTTAAATGAAAGACTCCACTACCGCTTCATCGCTGCACGGCGAGTGCGCGAAGCTGCCGCCAGAGGTTTTATGCTGTGCGGTTTATCTCTGTATTTCCCAGAGAGAGCTTGCAGAAGTTTGAATTAAAACTGCTCTCTCAATTTTTTTAATCAGCTCTCCATGAAGCTGATAAAAATGTTACCTGGTACATTTTGGGGAAAAAAAGAAAAAGAAAAAAATTAAAGTGAATTTTGTTTCATCTTTTCTATTCTGGTGCATCTATTCTCATTAATTTAAATACAATAGAGCCACAGTTACGCTGATTCCTGTACAGATTATTTTGCTTTGAAGATGCTAGAGGTGTTACAATATAAGCTCTGTGTTTCTTACCCTGTGCAGAGTATTCCTGTTCAAACCAATGGTCTGTGTTCACCACACTGACCCGCTGTAGAGCCTGGAGCAAGGCTGGTCTTAGCTTTGTACACAGGTTTATGTTGTAGCCTCTTTGACCTCCCAGAAGAACTTCTAGTACACCCAACACTCGCTCAGCTAGAGGAGCCTCTCTGGTGCAAACCATGTCCTGTGGTCAATGAAAAAAGTCACAACAAAGAAGGCACATCCATTTAGAATATCTCTTGGTAACACTATTATCCCAAAGCAGTAAAGCGAATCACTTCAATGAAGACATTTGCAGCCTAAAGAGGAATTACATATGGCAGCATGGCTCTTTCTGGGACCTCCCCACCCTTTCATGTGCATAAATGTGAGCAGCAGCGAGACCCCGATACAGAACAGAGCAGACATCGGTGACTACAAATATGAAACTGATTAAGTCAGGCACAGCATGAAAAGGAGGATCTGTGGTGGAGGTGACTGGTACAGTGGCTTGTGTGGGCAGCAACTGTGGGCAGGTTAAAGAAGCTTAAACAGCATGTCCTATATGAGATCTGCAAGCTGGATATTTAGGAGGGTATGACGTGGGGCTGGCACGGAGAATTTACTCCATGCTCGATTCAAATTTTTATTCCAAACAGCTCCCTTTACACTGCAGCATTCAGCTGCATAAAAATGTGTTCGTTTGAATATCGCAAAGTCATTAACTCTGAACTCTTATTCAAGGTCTCTGGCTCTCACCAGGAGGGTCAGTATGACAGCTGGGTACTTCTCCATCACAGACAGCAGCTCCATGGTTTCTGTGTCTGTCTTCTGATCCGACCTCTCATCTGCACAGCTTTCTTTCTCCTCCTGTGTGTCTGCCTATAAGCACAGATGAAACCCAGCCACCTTTTCATCAACTCTGACTTACCAGAGTTGAAGGGAATTCAGGAAAACACACCCCAATGTGTCTCTAAGACTTGCTCTGTCAGAGTGAAACTAATTAGTGAAAGTTGCCGGAGTGAAACAAGCAAATTGAGTTCAGTAAAATCACTGAATTATTCAGAAATACTTGCTGGGATACAGTTTAAGCAAATGTCTCATTACCGGGGTAAGCCCTGTGTTTGTGTCCTGTTCCTTGGTCAACCACAGCTCCAAGACCACGGCGGCAAATTTCTCTGCCAGCTCTGGGTATCGACACATGAAGTGGATCAGCGCAGCATGGTGAAAGTAGAGCGAAGAGAAGCTTTGGCAGGAGGAGAGTGCCTTGCTGATGCAATTCAAAGAAGCCTTGAATAACATGGTGAAGAAAGATTGATGAAGTCAAAGTACTCTCTTTGAGTTGAGTGTACACATCCAAGTTAAAAACTTGCAGTTTTGAAAATAATTTTCTTCACAATCCGGAGGAGGATCTCTTTTGAAACCCTACTGAGGCAGAGCCCTTAAACAGAGGAGCAACTCTTCTGTAATCTATTTTTATTCACATGTAAGGTATATAATATTGAGTAGTCTCAGAGAGGCCGCGTAATACTCTTTGAAATAAAGAAGGGCGCATTTTTCATGTTTTTTTCTTCTGTGATGCTCAACTATAGTTAAAATTCTTTGCTGGTGAATTCTCTACAGCACAATATAGATTTTGTATCAAGAGATGAACACGAGCAGTCAAGCTCTGACTCTAAGTATTTCTAAGCCTGCTCAAAAATGGTTTCCATATTCAATCATGAAAAAGAAAAAAAAGAAGCATCGGCTCCGTACGCGCCGCTCTTTCGTCTGTGCACGAGGAAAAAAAAAATACTGAACACATTCAAACTGATGAGATCCTGACACATTAATATGGCATTGCTTGTCAGTACAAATATCTCAACCTTCAATCTGTTTCATATTGTTAGACTGATTTACTGAACACAACATTTAAAAAAAATAACATTTTTTCAAACCGAGGCAGACGTGTCTTCTGTCAGCGTGTTTTGGCAGCAAAAGTGATAAAGGTTAAAAAAAAGGAAAAGAAAAGTTAAAAATACTGGAGCCTTAAGGCACCATAATAGCAGAGAAGCCTGAAATCTAGGTAAAGTTTAAACGTTACTTCCACGGTGACGCTGTACTGTAAGTAGTGACTGCTTTAAAAGTTTTCAAAGTTACTGTGTGTGTTTTGATTTTGGCTCGGAGTTACCCCATCGAGTGAGGGGCTCTTGTCCTGTGTCAGTGCCAGCAGGTAGAGGGCAGAGCGGAGCACAGAGTGAGGCAGGACACAGCCCTGCTCCTGCACAGAGCGCAACAGCCACACAACATTGGAGAAGACTATCTGGTCAGGGAGGAGCCTGGATTACACACACACACAAACAAACACACATATTAACGCCGTTAATTGCAGTATTCAAAGTTCACATAACGACAAAGTGCCCCAAGGGACACGCTGACGAAAGAAACTCGATATCTCTCTTTCTCGCACGGAAATCAACACAAACGCACTAAAACATATACAAAAGATCAACACACACATTCAGGGATCCTATCCCTGAGTATACAAACAACACGCACCCTCAGCCCTCCCACGCTATGTTAATCTCTGGCCACATCTCTCATAATCTTGATGAGACTGCGCAGTGGCAGGGAGAGGCTTTCATCGCCTTCCCAGGAGGTTAATGCATAGCCGAGGATTCGCAGAAAGAAAAATTAAACTTTCCAAGAAGCCGACACGTTGTTTTTCTCAGGTTATAAAAAATGCATTTGAGACCACCCTCGACGGGCCACGGCAGAAGAACAAGGAGAGAGCTGCAATCACGTGTGAAACCAGACGAATTTATATTCATACAAGTCTGATATATTCGATATAGCACGACTGCATTCATCATCTTGAGATTTTGGTTATGTAAACACAGTAATATAGCTCAAATGTTGCCTTTTCTGCTCTCAAAGTATGAACTACAGCATAGCTAAACAAGGCTTTGAGAGTGCCAGATGTTTGGTCATATCCACATGAACCAAAATTTTCCAAAACTACTTTAATTGCAAAAATGTACAATCCTTTCCAAATAGTCGGAAAAATGTAATATTCAATAAGGTCCATGTCAATATACAATAGAGACAAATGTTTACTCTGCACAAGTGCTTAGATACATAAGAAAAATGATGCTGATGCTAAAATATGCATCGGTTATTTTTATTTCCACAAAATAAATAAATAAATAAAATAACAGCTTATATCACAAAGTTGCCGGGCACTTAAATTGAACAAACTGTTTGTGATGTTCAACGCTGAAGTACATAATAATTTATCCCAAGAGTGCTTGTATATATCTAAATATATCCCTGCTGCTTGTGTGCATTATTACCTGTCTCCTTGCTGCAGGGCGAGGTACAGCACTATCACCAGGCAGTATTTCGGAGCCTGTGGTCCTTGATATTCACACAGCACAGAGGGCCACTCAGACAGGCGATAACACAAAGAGGGAAGGTTGTGCAGCAGTAGATTTTCCACCTCCTTCAGATCTGAGGGACAAGCAAGGTGATGAAACAGAAAGGAGAAATGCAATCAATGCTAGAATTGAGAAGAGAAGAAGGTTTGAGACAGAGAGCGAGAAAGCAACAAGAGAAGGTGGAGAGAATGAGAGGATATGAATGAAGGCGAGAGGTGGTGGAAATAAAACAGAACACAGCAGAAGAGGCCCTGAGGCCAATTTTCCAAACAAGTATTACTCACTAATTTTTTTTTTTATTATTTTTATACAACTGAAGGCATGACAAAGCTGATGTTTATGAAAAAACACTCTTTTACAGGCAAAAACGAGTGAGGCTTGACTGATATCCAAACAAATCCAACTATAACACCATCATTAAGGAAACATGGAAAAGCTTTAATTAATGTCTTATAATATTATCTGAAAAAACACATTCTGTTACATTATGTAGAAAAATTAGGATGGATTAAAAAGCCGATAGAATGATGGGTGTGAAATGAAAGGGAGCATAAGAGGGAACATGAAAACGTAAAACATGAAAAAAGGAGCCAGATGAAGATGAAAGACAGAAGGGCTCAAGCAGGAAAGCAGTGTTAGAGAAAAAGGAGAAGAGAAGGAGAAGGACGGCACAGGGAAGGCACAGACCCTGATCCATGACTACACAGTGGATATACAGTAAAGCTCCAACAGCGTCTGCGGGAAGTGCAACAAAGAAAATAAAGAATGAAATGAGGAAAAAGGCACAAAAAGCACAGGAAAAGGAGAGAGAGAGAGAGAGAGAGGGTGGCAACAGTGAGCTCTGTGGTCTGGAGGGTAACTGTAAGTAAGAAAATATACTGTTTACAAACCAGAGGAAAGTAAGAAGGGCTCCAGTCACCAATGCAGCCATCACCTCCAGGGAAAGAGTCAAAGAGTGAGGAGTGAAGAAGAATAGGGGGTTGTACTGAGTTTAAGAGGGAAGACTGGGACAGAGAGGAATACAGCAAAGGCTAGACAGATGAAGAAGATGAGAAAGGGGACAACAGATGGGAAAGAAAAAAGAACTAGACCCACACAGCAGGCAGCAGTGACACACTGCCTCCTGTTCAGGTCCTAAAGAACAGAAAAGTAATCCGAGACGAGAGGACAAGAGCCTTTTCTTAAACATTCACATGAGATTAGCAGATATCTTTAAAGCACAATACCGATGACACGCTGTGATGTATCACAGGAGTAATCAGTAACATTAAATCTTAAAAGCACTAATGAGACTGTACACAAAGCAGGACATGACAGACAGGGAAAAAAATCTGCTTAAAACCTGAAAAACGGGAGTTTTTGAACAAGAAAAACATACACTGTAAAGTGTGATAGGAAAATTTCAAGATGAGAGGGAAGAAAAATGAGGAAAAGCAAGAGGCTGAAAATGAAATGGAACCTGATAAGGATGATAAAAGGGAGGAAGATGGTGACAGGCAGGAAAAGAAACAAACAGGACTCTCGCTCTGCCAAACTCATTATTCACCATCACACACACACACACACACGCTTACTTGCTCGTACAACTCTTACATCTCATTACCTCAAAGAAATATTTTACTCCACTCTGGTGACAGTGTCACACAGACACATCTGCGGGGGACAGCTGCAGTTACCAATGAGCTGCTTTTCTTTGCTCTTTATTTTAGTGGATGCTGCAGTGATGTGAGATAAGGAAGTGTATGGAGTTTGTGCATTTGCTTCCGTGTAACGGAATTAAAAGCAACCAGCACTTGGAATTGGAAACGTTACCTGTGCGCACCTATGTGTCATAAAGCGCGCTGACATTTAAAAGCCTTGGCCTGAGCTCTCTCACATAGGAAATACAATTCAAAGCCAGTTAACACAATCACCATGTTTATAGTCCGCACACCTGGTTCCCTTCCTTTCATCCTAAACAGAAACCGGAGCTCTTGTTAGTCAACGTGCAAACAATTTCTTTGTTTTTTTCATAAGCTTGCCTGTTGACTGTCAGCCAAGCTGGCTTTGAGACCCTCCTTAAGAACAGAGTTAACTTAACTCAAAAGAACAGGTGAGTCAGATGGAAATGAGACTCTCGCTCGAGTTTTTGATGTTTAAAGTCAACATAAAGACGAAAGAGAGAGAGTGTCAGCCTGAGTGGGCGAGGAAGCAGGCATGCGACAAAGAAAAACTAAAGCAAAACTGCAAAAGAACCTTATTTACTTTTTAAATCCAGCATAATTTTGTCAGTTCATGGCAGCAGTTCTGGGTAAAAAAATGTATAATGAAGGATTTGATGAAGAAGCACCTGCTGAATGTAACATGAAGTCAGTTTGATTTAGTTTGCCGAGTATGAACTATACCTACATGTATCACTTTAATACAGACAGGCAGTAAATATTTGATTAAGCTGTGAATGGGGAAAAAACAGTTGAACCCCTCAGCTACAGCTAAGACGCGCTTTGGTGACACACTGACCTAGCCTATTCGGAAAAACTGCAATGACAGTTCAATATTTCTCAGAAAACTGGCAGCATGACATCACTGCTCAGAGGCTGAGAGCAACAACAGGGATTTTACCCTGACTGCATGTCTCCGTGTGTGGTGCAAACGTGCATGTATTTGCATACCGTGCTGGTGGGAGCCAGAAGGAAGGTCTGACGGGGAGAGAAGACACATACTGAGTTTCTGTAGAAAACCACAGCAAGATGCATTCAGATTTGGGTTCCTGAAAGAGTGAGTGAGAGGGAGAAATGCAAAAGAAGCTTGAACACACACACAAACAAACACACCAAAGGAAAAAAAGATTTAAAAAAAGAGATAATGAGGGCACCAGAGACAAACAGTGAACAATTACCGCTCAATGCGCGGTCAATACAGCTAAGAACTAACTGTAAAACCGAGGACAGGATGTGCTTTGACAAACTTCTCTCAAAGATGAAATGCACAGTGTTTAGTTTCATTACAGCTCAGAGCACGGGGGGTGGGCTTAAGCCTATCAAGTAAACCACATTTATGACCACACTAGTATACGAACACAAAAAAAGGCACACTCTAACGCAAAGACCCACAAAAGCACATATGCTTACATGTGAAAAACAAAGCACACACAATACAAAAGCACACTGTGGACTTTGAAGTAGTACATCCATCGCTTAGAGACAGACACACTCTGAGAAGACTGGCTTATTGGAAAAATAAGTAGAGTGACTCAAAAATGACAGATGCCTCAGTCTGTGTTATCTGCCTCATTGCTAAATGTGCTTCGACAGAGAATGATAATAGCAGCTCGGCTCACAGAGCCACCGCGGCTGGATACACACAGTGTAGAGAAACACGCGTGCGCCGCTGCAGTTTTAATTGTCGTGTGTGTCTCTGTGTGTGTGTGTCCTCAGATTATCCTCTTACAATGTACCTGTTTCCTGCACAGAGGAGGCCTTTGTGTTCCACAGCCAGTCTGTAGAAACCAGAGGACGCTGGAGGGAAGAAGAGGTAAAGAGGAGAATAAATAAACTACTACACAGTGAGAAATGAGGAAGAAGATGAGGATGATAGCAAAAACACTATTTATATAATGCAAACACTGAGGTACATCAAAGCCACTAACAAAAAACGTGACAGTTAGAGTAAACACACACACAAAAAAGTGCACGCTCTAATCTTCAGCCTAATTCTAAGGAAAACACCGACCCAAAGCTCAGTGTTGTAATGACGAGTTTAGCAATGAATTTAAATGACGAGAAAGAGCAAGAGCAAGAGCAATAGAAGCTCTTTTTTATTTCTAGGCTGTCATGTGTCACATTTAAAGTCATGTCACCTTACTGCTATGTCCACCCTATCAGAGTAGTAGTAGCTGATTAGGATCAACTAGGTGAGACTTACCAGTTGTTGTTGGCAATACAGCTCAGATTCTACAGGCCTCTGTTACCATCTTAAATGTTACAGTTTATTACAGAACAATTAGAAAAAGACTGAACAAGTATGACTTGTTTGGAAAGGTTTTGCAAAGGGTGATCTGAACAAAGAACAAGTATCAGCTACAATGACAACACCTCATACCAACACTATCAAGCACAGTGGAAGGGTGATCATTTAGGTTTGTTTGTAACCACGGGACCATTGAGTCGACCATCAGCTTCTCTGTATACCAAATTAGTCTAGATTCAAAATCTGAAGTCCTCTGTCTGTCGGGCTGACATCTAAAGTTTGGCCAAAAGTGAGTCACGCAACAGGACAATGATCCAACGCACAGCAGAGTCTGCAGCAGAATGTCAAATCCAGACCTCAATCAGAGTGAAATCCTGCGGTTGGAAGGAAGCTGTGCATAAGCAAATGCCCACAAACCTGCATCAACTGAAGCAATGGTCTAAAGAAGAGTGAACCACACTGATGCCAGACACTGATAACGTCACAGAAAAACATTTCTTCAAGATATTTCTGCAAAATGTGGTTCTACAAGCTTCTGAATCACAGGGTGGTTTTTCACAGGAAGGCAAGGGAGTCCTGACAAAAAAAGGTTTCTTTTAGGTGTAATGTGTGACTGACAGGTTATAACTTGTCATTTTCCAACATGCGGGATTACTGTTTTAAAGCGACATTTTTTTTCCACTCGCACACAATTTTCTCTCAGCCCTGCCTCAGTAGTTTTCAGTGCCTAAATGTAACTAGTGACAGTGAGGAAAAATGAAGGGAATCAGTGAGTTAAAAAAGCAAAACAAAGTGAAAAACACATTCAGCTTTCTAACATAGATGCTGCAGGTCTCACACTAGCGAGCCACGGAGACCTCATGTTTAGACACAAACTGGCTCTAAAAAAATGCATTTTATGAAACACCGGGATGAAAAAGTGCTGGTAAAAGACAGGTGCCATCAGTTCATGATCCCCAAACCTTTGCATTTTTTTTTTTTATCTTAAATTAGTTTCCAAGCAACACAAAATAATTTTTAAATTTAATTTAATGAATCACTGAAGACTTATGACAAATTTGCCTTCAGTAAAGGAAAAAAAGGCTATACTGTAAAGCTGTACTTAATATCTTGGCCATTCCAGTGCTTCAGTGAGAGAAAGCACCTCAAACTTATTAGAGAGATGTTTTAATCCCATAAGGGAACTAAATTGCTTTCTTCTTTGTCCATATGGACCTATGCCACATCTGCAGGAAACTGCTCTGCTTTGATAAGCGCTTCCAGGACAAATACCGAGCTTAGGTTTGTTTATAATGTCACCACATTGGCTTGTCTGGACGCCAGAGGCAACAAGTTCTCTGTCATCGTGCTGACAGCCAATTTTTAAGAGCCTGCATAGTTTTCCCACTACAGCGATATCAAATTTAATTAAGGCATTTAGCCTCACTTTTGATAAATGTAGAATAAACTGTTGATATTACTGTTTCTGGCATCAAACAGTGCAAAAGCCAGATTTTCATTTTGTAAACGTTATCTAACCATATCAAAGGTTCAGTGGCTCGGCGGTGAACACAATATGTTGGTGATGATGAAATAAAATGAGCTTAATTTCTTTTAATATGATTAGCTGGGAATAAAGCTTTGTGATGAAACTGCTTCTGTTTATTTCATTTAGTAAAACAATTTAAGACTTTAAACAACATTTAAGCAAAGCGTTTAATTGGCCAAGTTGGATTAAACGAACAGGCTTGTTTGGATATATTTAGTTTGTATTTTGTATTCCTGTGAAGATCAGACACGCGGAGACCTCGAGACTCGTGGTGATGTGGGCTGGCTGTATGTTTCTAGAAATACCACCCGTGATATCTGCAGAGCCAACGATAACAAGACTCAAAGGAGCGGCTAATTTAGAAACATGAGCTGTGAGGGCTCTACAAGCTGTTTCAGCTACTGATATCATGAATCTCACTACACTGTAAATGAGTTCTATCGGCCTCCAGACAAACAAATGTGGTATTTACATTGTGGTGTAGTTAGTGCTGCCATGGTGTGAAAATTAAGTGTGCTTTCCCATTGCACTGTAAAGCCATAAACTGTATGTAAAAGATGGAAGTAGCCTCTGTAACACCAGCCATTTTTGAAGCATCAAGCTGACGTTGTTGACCATCACGGTGATTTTTTGGAAATGATGTGGTAAGCAAAGGCTAAATCTTCTTCATCGTACTTTTTGACTCTAATGCTGACCATTATCAGCACAAAATGAACACCAATATGTATTAAAAACACTTTCCAACTAGAGCAGTCACCTCCTGCTGGTGATTAGAAAGAATGCAGGCATATCCAGTATTCGCACTGGTTTCCCTTTTCAGATGTGGAAGTTTTTATATACACAGCAAGGTGAAGACATTCACATGAACTGCTCCACTGAACTTTGTGGTAAACCATTGCAGTTCCTGTTCACGTGTGTGTCAATCAAAAATTGTTTGTTTTATTGTCAAAATGTTTTGTTTACATTATCAGTTAACGTCTGTAAATTCACTTTGGCCAGGATCAAAGTGTTCATAAATCAACAGATTATCGTATTACCGGTATAATAAAGCTAAAATCTAAATATGCAGGAAACCTGAAGTCACCCTTTTCTGTGAACATTAAAAAAACCCACAAATCTAATATAAAGTATATTATTGGCTATACTAGGAAATTTCCATTAAAGGAGCATTCTTTATAATCTTTATAATCCAGGAAAGTAGCTTTATAATTTAGAACAAGTCTTTTGGTGATCTTACAGTAGCATACATAGTAAAATATTTTATTGTGTCCGTGTCAATAACCATGTATTTTTTAAATATACCAAAGTAACTTACATTTGTCTGCTAACAGCTTTATAATTTGTGAATAATCTGCCCTATATACCATTTGTTATCTATACAATAAACCATTACAAGAACAACAGTTTAGGAATAATTCTTATAGATGCTGCAACACACAACCTTGCAGCCTAGACAACATGCAGTTATCTGTTGTTTCAGACAAACTGACACATTTGACACTTGACTACTTTGATATATACAAGAGTTCGTTTTTGACTCAGTGTCTGCAATGTGCTCAGGTCCTGTGGCTGCAAAACAAACCCAAATCATCACCCCTCCACCACCGTGCTTCACATTAAGTGTGAGGTGTTCGTGCTGATATGTTATTTTGGTTTTTTTGTAGAGCCTGGGATGTGGCTCTTGGTTTCATTTGCAAGCTCTTGAGCGTTGCACAGTTTGACCTCGGGCGAAATTGCTCAGATATCAACTGCCGGGAAGATTGTGCCATTCATACCTGAATGTTCCAGACCAGCAAACTGGTCTTATATAGATACTTGGACTTGCTGTTGATAAGTTAATAAAGCTCAGTTGATCAGCATCAGCTGGTTGCTGCTTATAATTCAAATGGAAGCAGCTATGAGTGTACTTAGTATTTCAAAGTACTGCATAGACTCCTGTGAAAACATTCTTATTCAAAACTAAGATTTACCACAGACAAAAAAAGAATGATACTGTGCATCATTCTATGATATCATTTCTTATCATGAAACACCTACTGCTTTGAGTTTATTCAGAACTCACCGAGCTTATTTGCAAAGGCAGGCATGAGAGATGGAAGCAGGGTGAACTGGGAAGATAGGATAGAGTAGAAGTTCTGCAGTATGGGGGCACTGGGTGCACGCTCACACATCCTCTACACACATAGGAATTTACAGACAAAAACAAACCACAAACTGTAAACAATTTTTTCCCGTGTGATTGATTTTTTTAGCCTGAAGAGAACCAACAAAATATAACATAAAAACAATTACGAACACTACAGCAGAGGCACTGATCAATAGGCACGCGTGTCCATGTGTACGCAAAGCTAATGTAGACAGAGGCTGTGTGGCTGTGCTTATTAGTATAGTCATTTAGAGGAGCCGCCAGACGGTGCATTATAATCAGCATGACCTATTTCTCAGAAAACAGCAGCCAGCAATTGATCATTTCCTCAAGTGTTTGGTTACGACTATGAAAGAGAGACACGGGGTTAAGATGAGAAGATGATTAATGTACATCTGGGTGCACGTGTGTGTGTGTGATGGTTTTCAGCTCTCACTATAACAGTGGGTATCCAGACAGCGTCACAGCAGCGGAGCAGGCATTGACACAGAGACTCTAGAGAGTCCTGAGCACCGCTGTGCTTGTATGGAGCTGTAAATGTGTTCTCCTTCAAAACAGGGTCTGATGCACACTCCTCAGCCAGCCTTGAACAGATATCAAACACACACAATAACCCGCCTATAAAAAATACACAGAGACAGATGCAAAAAATATATCTGTAAACACTCATACCAAGGATTTCATTAAGCTTTCATCTGCAGATAAACAGAAAAGATGTACTTCTACGATAGTTATTGATTCAGTCCTATGCTTTTTTCATCCATATGAGAAAATCTGACAGACATACTGTAAGAAACTCATAAAACTTTGTAAATGCGTTTATTCAGTGATGCCACTGACTTAACAACATTCTGACCTGCAGGCAGACTGAAAACAGACCAGGGACTGGAGCAGAAATCTTTCAGACCTCAAAGCCTGGCTGCTGGGATCTGACCTCTTCATTCTCCCCTGAAAATTAACAGAGGGACATGTTAAAAAGGGAGTGCAGAAAAGAGAGAAGAAATGATGCAAAAGTCAGGAAATCACATCAAACAGAAAACCATCATCCTTTACAAGTACTATCTAAAATAATAGAACCTCTTCATAAAAACAGACTGAAAGAGACCCCTCTGTTATACAAGAATCACCCACTCACGTGTATATCTCTGGTTATTACTTTTAATGTTTCAGCTTGAATATAAATGCATGCAAACTTGTTGATAGTCACATTAAATACCATTGTTGCAACACTGTTCATTCCTGGCAGGAATCAGAGTCCTGATTCCTGGCAGGAATCAGGACTCTTTAAAAAACAGCGGTGACAGACAAAAAACGGCATCAAAGAGAGCTCTGTGTGTCAGTGTGACTTTTGAAAGAACTGATAACCACAGTGAGTGGTGGGGGGGTGGTGACCACTCACTGTAAAACCTGGCACAGATTGACAGACGAGATAGATCTCGTATTTTTCCATTTGCAGATAAAACAAAATCTCACAGAGCTTCGCAGATGAGCGGGGGAGGGCAGCGTTAGGTTGACAAATCTGTTGGTGATGGCCTCTATCAACTTGATTATTGCCTCGTACTGGACTGGTCTGGACTGGTGGTCGAGTCTGAAGAATTCAAACACAAAAGTAAACACTTGATATTATCAGGGGTGGAGTAGGTGGATGGTGCAGGGAAGAACAAGCAAGCGTTGCAGAAGGGCATGGTGTGGATATCAAGTAGTTCTGTATGTACACGCATGTGTGACCTACACAGAGGTTAAAACAACTCAAACGATCAATTAAGTGTGTAAGTATGTTTTTGCTTTTTTGTGTCATGCTGTGTTGTTGTACATGTCTGCTACCAATGTGTTTACTGTGTGCATAAAGGTCTGTTTATGCACACAGTCACTTTATCTGTCACTTTATCACTAATAGATCAGAAAAAATTATACAGAGAAACTGCTTTAAAAGACCCTAAAAGGTTGCCTGTTTCCTCAGGATGTAGTTGCACAATCGCCCTTTGGCAAGAAGTAACTCTTTTACATATTTGCAGCATACATGTTTGTGTATACCTGAACAAGGCAGAGGTAACGCTGGCTGCCTGTGTGGCTACCAGCAGGCAGGAGGAGGAGACTCCACCAACCAGGACCTCTGAAACTGCCACAAACCCTGCACCACTGGGGAACAGACGCACACTTGCAGGTTGTCTGCACATGCACACAAACAGACATGTAAAGCATTACCAGGAAACCTAATAGGGTTTGCTCGTTGAAGCAAAGAATGAAAAAGGAAGACATTTAAAAATGACACATCACAGTGGATCTGAAAGCTGCAGAGAACTGTGCTAAAAGAAATCAGGAATTTTTCACTGATAGGAAATTTTTGATACGAAAGTCAATAAGAAACCATGAAAAAGCTGACCGTCTACTTTTTCTTTTTGCCTGACCTTATCTATAATTCTTTGTCCTGCTGTGCCAATAGCAGCAGTGACTGTTTGCTGAGTCCCTGCCTCCCTCACTCACACACAGACTCTCTTTAAGGGCAGGCACACACAATAAACAAATAGTGCTGACCTATCGGCCTTAGAAAGATCACCAGAGTACATCTCCAAGCTGCAGCATCACAGCTGTGCACTGGCTCACTGTTGCCACAACATTAGTTACACAGAACATCCTAAATAACACATGCATGCACACTGAAGTGTACACAAACACACAAAGTGGTAATCAGCTCCAATCATAAAAAGAAAATATCAAAAAGAACAAAGAAACCAAGCATTTTCCAGAATTTTAATTTCTCGACAGCAAACAGCAGGGATTGGTCTCTACTCTACAGGAAACTAGGGTTGTCATGATACCAAATTTTCATTTCATGATTAACACAAAAAACATTCATTTTTAAATATCATAATTGTCGTGCCACCCCTGCGTCATTTAAGCGAGGTAGCTGCGTGCAGGAGGCAGCACACTCACTTACACTTAGCAGTGAATGCACCGAGACAGCAGGCACTATATTCAAATCTAATTAAACTTCCTAACTGTGCTATTAGTTACATTATGTGCACAATGGCACAATCTGTAATCAAACTAACTTTGTATTGGGGGACTAGAGGGTTGAAAGCAGACTTGTACCTCAGCTGGTTGCTGTCTGGAAAAGTTCAAGCCTGCAGAGCATGTGTGATAATGGTTCTTGTTAGAGCACTGTATTGATTTTTATTCGCTGTGGATAATCCAACCCAAACCCCGACCTTAAGAATAACTGAGTCATGTCGGGTGATTCTATATAAAAATATAGCTTTTATAGCTTTACCATTACAATTCAATGCTTTACTCAAAGCCTTACACGTAACATTAACCTAAACCTAGTCTAAAAAAAAAAGGTGCTTACCAGAATGTGCTCAACCTCCTAAAATTTTGGGTCTCAAACTTAAACTGTTTTTCATAAAGATAGATACACAAGTATACAACCAGACAACACAGACAGACACACAGGTGCACACACACACTTTAGCTTGTTCAGCACTTTAAGAGCACCGGCCGTGCTACTTTTTACACTTCTACTCAGCGTAAAGGACAAATTTCCCCCTAAGATTATAAAATCTCTTATCCTCTGTATCACTGCCATGTGACAGGGGAAACGTTCCATTAAAATTATGTCAACCTTGCAGAAACAAGACTCCTGTTTTTACTGGCTTGGGATATATTTTCACCTCCAAGACAGCAGACAGTTAATTCACATCTAATTAAAGTTGCCAGTCCACCGTATTTTAACATGTTTTACAGGAGGTAGCTTCTCCTTGTCGGAGCAGATGGAGCTGCGCGCGATGTTCAGTAAACGAGCAAAAGTGTGGTGGAGTAAAACATCTTCAGCGTAATTGGCTGTGGGGTTTTGGTGAAATGACATACACTATGTAAACTTTACAACCACAACTTACCGCAAACAGACAGATGTGCTGATGGTTTTAGAATAATGGAATAACTTTTAAAAACGTTACAAAATACACACATATCTAGCCACAAGAAACATTTTACAAACGTATATAAGTATTGGGTATTGAATCAGTGGTTTAACAAACATTTGAACACTATATTGCCAAAAGTATTTGCTCGTCTTCCTTCACAAACATGTGATGCCGTCCTACCATTTGCAGCTATAACAGCTTCAACTCTTCTAGGAAGTCTTTTCAACGTTTATGGAAATTTTTGATTATTCTTTCAGAATTGCATTTGTGAGATTAAACAATGATGTTGGACGAGAAGACCTGGCTCAGCTCTACTTAATCACAAAGGTGTTACATCAGGTTGAGATCAAGGCTCTGTGCATAACAGTCAAGTACTTCCACACTAAACACGCTCATGTCTTTGTAGACTTTGCTTTTTACACTGGTGCACAGTCATGTTGGAACAGGGAGGGGCCATCCCCAAACTGTTCCCACAAAGTTGGGAGTATGAGGCTTTCCAAAATGTCCTGGTATGTTGAAGCATTAAGAGTTCCTTTCAATGGTACTAAGGCGCCGAGCCAAATTCCTGAAAAACAACCCCACACCATAATCCCCCCTCCACCAAACTTTACACTTGGCACAATGCAGTCAGATAAGTACCGCTCTCCTAACAAACCTGGTCTTGTCCGTCGGATTACCAAATGGAGAAGTGTGCTTCATCACTCCTTAGAACACATCTCCAGTGCTCTAGAGTACAGTGCGTGCTTTATACCACTGCATCTGACCTTAAGCATTGCGCTGCTCAGCCATGGAAAGCTGTTCTATGAACCTCTCTCTGCGCTGTTCTTGAGCTAATCTGAAGGCCAAGGCAAGTTTGGAGGTCTCCTGCAAATGACCTGACTCCACTCTGTGATTTTAAATGTCCTATCACTTCGAGCTATGCTGCTGCCGATCCCAATTGCTTTCCCCTTGTTATAATACCACTAACAGCTGACTGTGGATTATTTAGTAACGAGGAAGTTTCACGACTGGCAACTATTTTTGGCAATATAGTATATTAATATCATTTGGCAAATCACCAGCGTATTTTCTGAGGGAGCCATATTGTAAACTGTTTCTCCAGTATAATAACATTTTAAATATTAATCTATTTACTTTGGGATCCCGGTGATTATCATTTCTTCTTCTTCAATTGCTCCCTTATTTGCCACGGGTTGTCGTAGCAGATGGATCTGCATATTTGATTTGCCACAGATTTGTCATGCCAATGCCCCATTTGAGGCATGCCTCCCAGAGATTTGTTTGCCCTCCTGGTGACCAAATGTGTTAACTACTACACTATGCAGCTAGTCAATAAATAGAGTAACTGAAGAAAATAAATATCCATCTCACCTCTCCAGTATTTCTCTGAGGAGCAGCAACCCTTGTTTTGGCACTTCCAGGTTGGTCAGCTGCAAAGACTCCTTCAGACTGCGCACCAAGGACTCCATACCTAGCTTGCAACACAAACATGCTCACTGCTTCAAAGAAATACTCGAACTCTCAAATGAGCAGACACAAAAACAACAACAAAAAAACACTCTCTAACCTTGCTCGGTGCCAAAGTTCTTAAGAGTTGTTGAGAGACTACAGCCTACAGCAAGTTCGCATATTAAAATGAGTGACATGCTCATAAATGTATCACAAAGGATGCACACACAACAGCACTCGCAGCCTTGCATGTTAAACAAACAGTGACAGCGGTACATCTTTCTAATTTACTGCTACACGGAGTCTGCTGCCTGTGTTCATACTGACCTAGAGCAAGAACCTAACAGCAACAAGGAGTGGTTAGAGCAGATATCCTGTGTACTGGTAAATTAAGTCTGCATAGCAAGTGTTTCTCAAACTATTTCTCTGGGGTGGTGCTGAAGTGCTGCAATTACTGTGGGGCCTCACATGCATAATCCATTGTAATGGCTCACATCAAAGGCATACAAACACACACACACAGAGTCACACATACACATGCATGTGTCTGAACAATGCTAAGAAATGCAATATTGGGACATTTTTTTCCCAATCAGCAATTACTGCTCGCTTCTGTAACCATTTTCCTAATATTTGGCCATTTTGCCTGATTCTTGTTATATTACAAAAGCACCAGCTGTCTAGATGAAATAACCCAGAATAGAGTAGCAAATTCTATTGGTCTAAATTCAATTTTAATGCGACTGGGAGCAGATGGAGCAGATGCAGATGTCGAGAAACTTCCACTTTGGAGGGTTTATTAAAATTTCCAATCGCTGTCAGAAAAATTACAGAGTGCAGCGTCATTCCATCTAAGCTGTCAAGGACCTGTCTTTCCATCAATTATCCAGCAGCAGCTATTTTCAGATATGTTAACCGATATACAACGAAACCCAGGGCTGAAGACAAAAAAACAGAGATGACATCGTCGTAATTCACTCAGGAATGGTTTCTGATCTGCTGTCTCGGCTCTCTCGCCCATAGATTTAAAAGATGGATGTCGAGACAGCTGCACAAAAGTGAAGCCAAAACATTTCAGAAACAAACGCTTCCATCTTACCATGTTTATGCCAGTCGCAACCGGAGCCTCTGCAGTAGTGACATATTTTGTCATTGCATTCACACAGAGAGATAAAGTGGTCGTGCTCCTACAGCCTGTGTTCTCACCGTAAACAGAGTGACACTGGGAGAAAAAGAGGGGCTCCTCAGTTAGTAGCAGCAAGCAGCTGTAGGCAGACCACAGCAGCACCTCGTTGCTACTACAGGCCAGACGGTCAAACAGAAACTCTTTAAAAACAGTGACAAAAAGACAACTTTAAAACGTTGTTTTGTTCTTTTAAACAAAGTTGAAAGAAAAAGAGAGGATGGGGAATAATTACTACAACACTCTTCTGAAAGTAGGGCAATGTTTTCTTGCACATTAAAGGGGACCTGTTATGCTCATTCCCAGCTCCATATTTTTATTCTTGGACCCTACTAGAGAAGCTTCACATGATTCAAAGTTCAAAATAATATTTATTTAGATTATTTCATCGGGTCTTTTTGTAGCCCATTAGCACATCTTCTGTCTGAAGCAAGTCGGTTTTACTTCCCTCTTTCTTCTGATTGGCTCCCCTTTGAACAATAAAAGGTCTGAGCAGCAGGCGGGTGGGGCTGCTGACATTATACAGATGGATCATTTTAACAGTACATATACGGGTATGTGGCAAGGAAAAATATAACAGGGCCACGTAAAACAGTATGGCAAAAATTATGACAATGTCAGCCAAAGCCTCATCAAAAGTAATGACAACAATAATCGCAGACAAACAGCATAAGAAATACAAAGCGGCAGATAACATAATAACAGGGGTCTGGACAAAGAGAAGGATCCAAAGGGAACACAGAGGAAATCATTAATAGAACAATTCAAAGAAGGTATTAACTCATCGCAGCGACTGTGTTTGTGTGCCTGTGTGTGCGTGTTACCAGGTACGTCAGCGTTGATGAAGGGAGCACTGTACTGACTGGGGGAATGAACCAGAACAGATGCAATACACTTTGCACTGGTTACCTGCAAGTTCTCATCGCCACTCAGAAGCAACTGAAAGACACAATTTATGTTTTGTTTTTTTTAGAATCCTTGACTTAAATAAATATGTGTGTTAATCAAACAGTGTGCAAGACTCCCATAGTACTACAGTGTTTACACTATAAATGTTTCTTCGATTCTACCAACGGCTCATGATAGACTGAAGCAACAACTGGCTCCCATCTTCCATGCACTGTGTGGCATTGCAGCTTAGTGTGTTAGTTACTTCTGCCAAGAAGGTTAATCTTGGCAGCATTTGTGTGTGTGTGTGTGTGTGCATGTTTATTCTCTGAGTATGTAAAGCTCAAAAAGTTTTAAATGAATTCTATTAAAAGTTTCTAGGGGTGTCGAGTGGGGTCATGTTAACAATCCATTCAAATTTGGCTTACATCCACTAAGGTTTTCAAGGTAAACTTAATGATTTATTGGCTGCAAACTGACAAACAGCCTTAAAACTTTATCAACATACAGAAAACACCATTTAAAGTTTTAAAGTATCATGTCACATTTAACCTTTGACCTCTCCTTCAAGGCCAAGAGACTGATCTGAAGTTTAAAGAGATAATAATGCTATACAGATTTATTTATGTTTCTTGGTGCCATTGTCGATATACAGGGAAGTATATTTTGGTATTCTAAATATTACGTTTGTTTGACCTCTGACCTCTTTTTTAAGGTCAAACTTTCAGAAAATCTCTTTTCTCTTTAAAACTCTGCTTAAAATTATGCTGCCTGTTTGCATTGGCACCAATCAGGCAATGATATTGGTGTATAGTTTGTATCTAAATATCATGTCACCTTTGACCCTCGTTTCATTCAAGTTGACCCTAGAATGTGTTAAATACTGTCAAGAGAAAGAGAACAAGCTGCCTAGTTAGCTAGAAATATATAATAAGCTCAAATTATTCATGTTCATTTATTTACAAATCAGTACTTATCATCCATCACCTACTCCTACATAATGTTTGCGTAATCAAAGTAAACATCTGTCATGCTACCTTTATCTGAGTCTTACTGCACTAAAAACTTCATAAAGTAGGTTTAAAAAGAACAAAGAAAAAAATGAAAAAATAAATAATATAATACTATTCCCCTAAAAGTAAATCCAGGCCTCAGAGTGAAGTGCCTTGGCAGAGTGCTTCTTGTTTTCGTTTGAATATGTTAAAGTCTGGAACTACAACATATTGACTCATGTACCGAGGGGGGGATTTATACTTTTGTAAATTCCACACAGAAATGGATTAGGTGCAGATTATATACGGCTGAGGGTGTAGTCGTTTCACCGACAACCAATCCAAAAACAGTGCTGGTCTGACGTCACAGCGTTGATTATTTAGTTAAGAGTTTCATTTAGAAGCAACACATTAGAGAACAGAGCCCTCCATAAAACCTCCCAACGTCATCAGCTGTTCTGTAATGTGAGTCATCACTGAGAAAATCTAACGAGATGTAAACTACACAATGATTTCCCAGACATGAACCACAAATATTTGTCCAGGGTAAAACCCCACTGAATCCCTATTCAAAGGCACAATAATCCAGGATTAGAACTTCTTGTTATGATTATCGTCAGAGCCAGAATGCAGGTCTTGGGGATGAGAGCAGGATGTTTGGACAGAGACCTTTTTCAGTATGAGAGGCAGAAGGCAGTGGTCAGGGGGCTGTTGGTCTTGGTTTTGGCTGAGGCTCTGGCTGTTGTTGGCGAGGATGTCCTCGTTCTCATCGCACATGACCTGACAGCTCAGGCTGTTCATCAGAACTGACACAGCATCAGCCAGATGCACAAGCTGTGACAGCAGGCCTAACAGATGAAAGACAAGCTGTTACAGATACTAATGACACAGATCAGAAGTTTTAAACACGATGCAAAGTTTATACAAAGGCCTAAACATGGCTGAGATCTACACATGCATGTGCTGATAAATACATTCATGTTTTGTCTGGTTTCTTTTTAAATTTAGAATAAAAGGTGCACAAATATTACCTACAGCGTCAGTGTCACCATTGAAAATCTCCACCATTAATTTGATAATAAACTGGGCTATTTCAAATATCACAAAGGGAAGTTTTATATAAGATAATCATTTATAAATATTAAACACCTTCTATAATAATAAAAGTCTCACGATGAGGGATTTCCTCAGACTCAGCACCGATTCGTAATCATAAAAATGCAAAAATGCAACTTCCCAAAGTGCAACATTATTAAAATAATCTTACTTATATATTGTAGCCATTTCCAAATGCTAAAGAAAATTAATAATACCTCCTGCTTCTTCCATCATGTTGCTGCTATCGTAGGTAAGCTTGCTGGTATTAAACTAATAACAACAGTTCAGCCATGTTTACTTTGCAATTGCAAACCAACCTCTATTTCAAACCTGCTGTGCAACACATTTTTCTCCCAAGTTATTACAGTGGCATACATTCCAACTTTAAATTTCCGGGAGATAATGACTCATGTGCCACTCCTGTCTTATTTTTCGTAAATGTCTGTACCTAATGTAGATCTCAGTTCTGGTTATCACCAAACCGCACACTGCAAGCTTATTGTCCTTATAAGTCAAAGCTCCTCCAGATAGCAGGACTCTTTCATCTCCACATAATCCTCCCTCTTTCTCCATATAGCTTCGCTCTTAAGGAGATTTGGGAAATTTAGGGAAGAAAACAACCCTTTTTGTTATTATTAAGCCGTACAAAGTAAGGGAAATTTCTTAAATTACATTTTTTTTTTCAGTTCGAAAGGCAGATGTCAAATGACCACATTGCCATTCAAATAAGTCCTCGGCCGTCTTCTCTCAGCCAGCAGGGAGTGAAATTTTGCTTCATACATTGCTACAAATTCACAACCTCTCTTTTAATCTCACCAAGATCCTTGTTTTTAAGGCTTGAATAACAAAAATCTACATAATCAGACTTTTAGATGGTAGAAAACCAATTTCACTCTAGTTAGGTATCAGTTTAATTCGCACTTCAAAAACGCAAATATATGCAATTTTTCATTTAAGCAGCTACTGATGTAGTCAATTATACTTTTAAAAATCTGAAACTGAATGCCTTGAGATTACTTTATGATCATCAATTCTCATTTTCCCAACATGCTGTATCAAATTACATCGACATTAGTTTATCCATCTTGTAAAATATATAATGTTATAAAAGGATTTGTTTAGAAAATCACCCCCAAAAAAGAAAACTCATAAAATGCATTCAACCAAAATATTTTTCTCACCGACACAATCTCTGAGGAGCTGTGGGGAGCTGGCATTGGCTAATGTTTTCAGCAACACATTACACACTCTGTCCCTAACAGCAGAAGGCAAGGACTGGGCTGCTGAGCCCCCAGGAGCTCCAAGCAGTTGGAGCCACACATACACCACTGCACCCTTCAGTGCTTCGTCTGGGAAAAGCAGCGCTGAGCACAGGCGGTCTAACAGGGGCACTGGTGGAGAGAAATGGAAACAGGTAAGTACTTAGAGCACAAGTAAGACACAGGCATAATCATGTGGTATAGTTGTTAAGTGTCTGTATGCTGTTGTGAAGCAGCTACTTTATTAGGTACACCTGTTTAATTGCTTGTTAACACCGTTATCTAATCAGAGAGCAGAAACTCAATGCATTTAGAATAACAAGAAAGCTTTGAGCTGATAGGAAGACAACAGGAACTCAAATAACCACGTTCCAGCCAAGGTATGCAGAAAATCATCTTTGAATTCACAACATGTTGAACCTTGAAGCAGATGGGTTAGAGCAGCAGAAGACTACACCGGGTGCCACTCCTGTCAGCTAAGACCAAGAAACTGAGCTTAAAATTTACAGTGACTCACCAAAACTGGACAACAGAAAATTGGGCGAATATTGGCTGCAACATTTACATGTTGGGTCAGAATTTGGCATAAACAACATAAAATCATGTTGTTTACCTTCTCTCATGGGCTCAGGCAGGCAGTGGTGGATGGTATGGAGGATATAATTTCTTGGCACACTTTAGGCCTTTAAGTACCAAGTGAGCCTCATTTAAACACCACAGCCTCCCTGAGTATTGTTGCTGTATTGTCTATTCATTTATGACCTCCATGCAACATCTTCTAATGGCTGCTTTGAGCAGGATTAGACGATAACTCATAAAGTTCAGATCATCTCAAACCGGTTTCTTGAACATCAGAATCAGATCACTGTACTCAAATGGCCCCACAGTCACCAGATCTTAATCCAATGGAGCACCTTTGGGATGTGGTGGAACAGGTTATTAACATCACAGATGTGGACCAACAAATCCACAGCAGCTGTGTGATGCTATTACGTCAGTATGGACCAAATCTCTGTGTTATGTTTCAAGCACATTGTTGAATCTATGAAGATTTAAGGAAGTTTTGGAAGCAAAAGGGGGTCCAAGTACTCAGTACTATCGAGGTGTACCTAATAAAGCTGCTGATAAGTGCATAAATAGACGTATAATTGCAACATCATGTGACATTTCAATTACCCAGAAAGACATCTGCGAGTATGTACAGAAATGCAGGAAAATAAGAGAAACCCAGAGGTGAAGTAATTGCATTACTGTGAGAGAAGACACCACAAAAGGACAGTGAGATTACAAAATGGAAAAAGTGCAAACTGCTGGGAACAAGGTGGAGAGTTTCAACTTTAGCTATGACAGACAACGGTGGACCCAGCGTCGGAGGGAAAATTGCCTTGAAGATGAAAGGGTTGAAGATTGGCAATTGCGGGAGAGAGCGGAGTTAAACAGCAGATGAGAGTGTGAGCAGACTAGATTAAAAAACTATGTAGGCGTAGATTGGAGCATAAAAATATAAAAACACGAGTACTTTTATAATTATTTTCACAAAATAATTTGAACCCTAACATTAGTTTGTTGCTAGGAGAACTTAATTACTCATGATTTTCTCATTTATGCATCAATGTAAATAAAAGGGCAACAAATAAAGAATTTAGTGTGAACACACCAGTATACGCGATGGCAGGTGAGACACAGGCAGGAGACAGAAGTGGCTAAGGAGAGGTGAAAGAGTCAAATATGTCTAAAACAGCGACAATGAGAATAGTTGCACAGCGGATAAGAGCACAAAGCAACACGGGACTCAGTGAGTGTCGAACATGGAGAGAAAGAGACAGAGATGACAGAGCAGGAGAGCCAAATCCAAGCCAGCTGCTCTCTGGAGCAGATCAAAACCCATGTGAAGCAGAAGAAGCTCCCAGACATGTTTGATTAAACCGAAATATATGAGGCGGCCAAGATGACAGCAAAGCATAAAGAGAGAAGCGGTGGGGGTGGGGGAGAAGAAGGGAAAAGAGGTAGAGGGGGTGGTAACTCCTCCACAGACAGAGGATAAAAAATGTAGGGAACAAAATATGAGCTGCAAAAGAACAGATGAGAAATAAAACGACGTGCTGCTGTTTAATGCCACTTAATGAGAAAGAAACAAACACGGGGGGAAGCACGGCAAACAGACGAAAAGGTCGTCTTGTGCTTTCCTTAAAGAAAAGAGCAAAAGTTCATTTCTGTTTACCTTGCTTAGTATTTGGCTGCCCTACTCTGATGCTTTGAACTACCGCTCAGCTCATCTTCTGATCCGCTTTCTACAGTATTTAACCATCACTTTGCACTTGTTGCTTCACCCTGCTTCCTCTTTCTTGGTCTATTGAAAACATTTTAGTTTCTCGATATTTTTGCAAGCACTTTCTAAAAAAAATGTCTTGTGAAAAGTCTTAGCATAAAAAAGTGCTTGCAAAAAAACAAAAACAAAGCGGAAATGCTGAATGCTGAGATGATGCAAAGTTATAGAAATCATGAAACCTGCCATTTAACTGTTTAATTTTAGATAACTGATATTTTACATATCAGCTTGTGAGAATTTTTTTTTAACTTGCACTATTGTCCTTTCCTTCTTTCATCCCTCTTGTTATCTCTTTTTGCCTTTGCCACTTTTCTTATCCGTTTCATCTTCCCTGTTTTGTCTGTATCCGCTCCTCAGTCAGTATCAGCAATACAGAAATCGAAGAGAAAATTCTGGAAGAGAAAAGTCAACGAGTGAGGACAAAAAGAGGGGTTAATCAGTCAGAAAGACAGGCAGCCAGTGAGTCAGAGACAGAGGGAAATCTCCTGGGTGCTCTGGGCTTGTGTTGTCATTGCCTTGCTGTTGTCGTTAGTCCAAACAGCCCCACAGAGACTTGCTGAGTGACAGGCCACAGACAGGCACACACAGTCAATAGTGGCAGCCCACATCTTGCATCAACATTGTAACAACTCACCACTACCTGCAGCTGCTGGAGGGAGCTTGAAAAACTCATGAAAATACATGAGAGGTGGACACACATAGCATAATAAAATAAGTACGGTGGCTGCCTTTTTGGCATAAGGATCACATTCGCGCTCGATCGTAAAGACAAGCAGTCAGGCGTGACACAAACACAGCACGATGCACACACGAACACGAAGCTGATTGACAAAGCCTAATAAGCACTGTGGAAAAATGATTCGGAGAGTACAAAGATATCGTACAGGTGGTTGTAAAAGAGATTAAATCAACAACTGTGCGTTGGGGGAGGAGTATCTTTTCAGCTCGCTATACTACAGCTTTGTACCTAGATAAATACATTCATATAGACGGGGAGATTCAGGGAAAAGGCTCGGATGAACATTTGCAGTATTTGTAGCTTTTGCTATTTTACTTTCAGCAGGTGCTGGTATGGGATTGGCTATGCAGATGGAATTTTAAGGTTGGTTATCTCGGTGCAGCTGGAGAGCAATTGAAAAGGTCATAACAGCTAGAGAGATTGAATTGAGAGAGTTCAGGGAAAAGGATATGGAAGATAGACTTGTGTGATTTTTTTCTAATTTCTTAGAGGCAGAGGAGGTGGAATAGGGCACAGCATGAGAAAGCTAGTTTCAAAAGTAGACATAATACAGCTATTTCCATCAGCTAATTTTCTTATCCAACTAGGGGACTCAGGAGGCTGTAGCCTGTCTGAGCTGGTATAGAGCGTCCTGGACATGTCGCCAATACATGCAGACAATGCTTTCCATGTATCTTGGATACAGTTTAAGAAGATCAATATAGGCTACGGTGACTGAAATGTAGATTTGTCTCTCTAAGACAAAAGAGATCAGGAAAATTATGTATTCCTTTATATCTTCCTCTTCCACTTCAGGTGAACTCTACATTTCGAACACATTCTTGGATCTTAGCCCCTGAAAATAATACATTTTTAATTCAGTTTCTGCCTCTCCAGTGCCACAGTGAAGAGTGAAATAGAGACTGCACAGTAAGCTACCTGAAACCTGACCGATCCTGTCTCAACTGCATTTTTAAAAACTGACCTGAATCAACGCACGTCATCAATTTCTTGCAGATACTCTATACGTTCCCCGAAAGGCAAATGAATGTCTTTGCTATACAAAGGGGTCAGTGGCTGTGGCCTGCTACACAGCAGTATGTTTGCAGTTTAAAAAGTATTTAGCACCGGATTATAAATCTCAATGAGAGGAATTCATGAAGCATGGACTTTGTAAATAAGTCTAGTGCTGGTAAAAACAAAGGGGAAAAATTATGCGTTGCTTACAACATTTCCAAGAACTGTTTATCACTTGCCACATGACGAGATAAAGTTCACGCTCGTGTTGAGAGACGAGCTTACTGATGTACCTTTCTTGATAATGGACTGTAAAGAAAATATAAACAAGGATAAAAACAGACTACTACTACTAGGGGCTACGTGTCCCTGTATTACTCTGAGGTCTCACTGAGTGTCATTTCCAGCGTCTCACCATAATGAGTCACAAGGCTCTGGGACACAGTAGGGGCAGCTTTTATTAGGTTACCCAAGAAGCTGAATGTAGGCAGGAAATGCTTCACACTGAGCTGCTCACTAAGCTAGAAAGAGAACACACAAAAAAATCATCAGTAAACTCACACACACACACACACACACACACACAGTAATATAAAGGAAATCTTAATGCATTAGATCATAAAGCTCTACAACATCAGTTTGCACAGGTGTCTTAAAGCTAAACTTTTATTTTAATGGTAGGTTAAAAAAAATCTTCAAAATGACCAAAATATATTTTAAAACTACTACAACAACCTGAATATCATATATGTTATTAACCACTTAAGTTTTTTATTTCCACTCGATAAAAAGTCTCTGAAATTATTCAGCGAGAGCTCCACAACAGTAAGGCCAAGCACACACGACCATGAGCTCAGAGGATTAGAGACACTCGAGAGATTTTCGCCTCCTTGTCTCCCATCACCAGCTTTGAGTGAGGTAGGAAACACTCTATCAAAAGCTGACATTTTTATTTCAACCAAATACCAACTGCAAATTGGGGAATTAATAATGGGTAAGTAAACACTGTTGTTAATGATCATGTCAAAACAAATCCTACAACTGCAACTCTACCAAATCTGGTGCAAGAAAAATGAAGCATAATAACGCTAGGCCACTTCCATGCATAGCGATACACAGAAGAAGGGTTAATCTGAGCCAAGTGCTTGTGTGTTTAAACTGAAAAAAATAATAATTTCTTCCACTAACAGTTTGTGTCAAAACTTCTAATCAAGCTCTGTTCTTGTAGCATAAATGAGACTTGTCTGCTGCGGCTGGTGTTATATTTTTCTGTCATCATCAGTATACACAGCTATACTGTTTTCCACCTGCAGCAGAATGAGCCTTCTCCATTACTGTCTCCCCCTGAGGTGACACAACAGCAGCAAGAGGGAGACAAGCACACTGTCTGTTTACTGAACAGCCTTGGGAGAGTATGACGGTAGTTACACAAGTGCTATTAAATTTTTTAAGATGTTGGGCATGTTCTTCTGCCTGCGCGTGCACATGAGTAGGAGCGTTTCTCTATTTGTCTTACCTGTTTGTGTATCTCATCCAAAACGAAGCGAAATGACAGCTCGCTCTGGAGCTCCAGGAGTAGCTGAACCAGCACTGACGCAAGTAAACACACACACACAAATGTATGCATTTACACAGGGAGATAAAAAAAAAACAGAGAGGTGTATTCATTAAATAAACATCACAGATAAGTGCAGTTTCACACTTTCGCACAGTCACTGCAATTACGAGACAGAGAAAATCAAAACAGTCAATGTTAATAAAAAATCCAGGTGTATAATTTTTGAAGTTTTAAATTATCCTTCAGAATCTTCTACCACTGCTTTAGAAATATGCATGCGATTAAATGATTCAAACAGGAATTTACTTAAATATGAAGTGCCTTTAAATAATGGTAGTTAAGGAATTTGTGTTACATAAGGCCTCATGTCGCTAGTGAAAAATGTGCATTCCCTGACTGTGGGGAGGGTTGTGCACTGAAAACTTTGCCATGGTTGGCAGCAGATTGGTGTGGTTGCTCATTACGGTGCAGTCACCGTTTATTCCGAGCAGTAGTGAAACTTGAAGAAGTGCAATGCAAGCTGGGAATGCAGAAAGTAAAGGTTGTGCCTTAATGCTGCCTGCAACCAACACAGTTCAAAAAGTGCAAGTCTGCAGAGAAGACAGCTTCTTACATGCTAACTGCAGCAATCTGCTAGCAACAAAAGGAACTGCAAGGAGATTTTTGGTGCAGCACTGTACACCCTCAATTACACCCTGCTGACTGCCAGGAACCTCCAGCAAACCACTTGCTACCTGTCAGAGAATACAGTTGCCAGCGTTCACTGACCAGTCTCTGGGTCTGTATGAAGGTAGCTTTAGCAATTAGTTTCACAGCAACTGCCAGCAACCTCCAGCAATTTCTTACAGCCCTTTCTTTAAGCCCTTACCAATCATTTCTACCGATCAGTGTTAATCAGTATCAGATAAATGTGCCATTATTTTACAGCATACTGACATTTTAGAGCTGGCGTCTAATGTGACATTAGCGCCCTGGAGCTCCAGTGGCTCCATGGTTCATGTGTCACATGATGAAGAGTGAGCTCAGGGCATAAGTAGTGCTAGAAAACAATATCATGTTAGGTGGAAGGTTTAAAAACCTTTTTTTAAGGTCTAAAAAAAGTGATGGACAAACAGGGATTAGCATTGTCGTGAGTACGTATGGAGAATGTTTGTGTTACTTTTCTCCCTGCCAAAAGGGAAAGGCAAAAGTCCCATACTGCAAACTAAACATAACATTTGGGGCAAGTTCAATTTGAAAACTGTGCAAGACATAATGATACGTATGCAGGTAGAACCTGTTTCCATTAAAGGATGTGCACTATGCTATGAGTTGTGGTATATTTCCATTATTGGGTGTTATACAAGCGTTATCCAAACAGTACTGACATATATTAAACCCTGTCATAGGGCTGTGCGATATGACCAAAATCTCATATCCCGATATAAGATATCTATCATCCCGGTAACGATATAAATCACAAAAATTTAACATTTTCTGTAAATTCTGTGAATCTCGGGCAGCTCGACTTGCGTAAAGTGTTTTCAGCTGGGCGCTGTGTACCTGGAGTTGAGACTTTTAACCCATGCATGAAGACATAGGTTGTAACGGCCGCCGTTTTCTTTGTATTTATTACATGGCGTGCTGCAGGGAAAAGCCTGTTCTAACGTTTGAGTCTAAGGTTTATTTTTTTAGTACCTAACGCCTCTTTTCTGCTTCTCATCCGTAAAAACTCTGCATACTCTTTCACATAATTTATTTTATTTTGAAAAGTCTCAACAGGATCTTGAGCTTTATTGTGAAAGGTTAATATGCAAAACAAACAAGGGGACGGCGGAGCCACGCCAATGTTTTACTGTCGTGGTTGCAAACGACAAAAACAGTGGCTTGTCCGTCCATAGTGTGGTCATATTAAATATAAGAGAAAGAGAGAACTTTAACAAATTAATATAGCCACTACAGTGACTATCAAAACCATGAAAAAATATTGCCGTAAACAGTTTATTTTGCAACACCACAAAAAAACGATAGCGTAATCTGAAACAATAGATGTTTTTATATCGTCATCCGATGTATATCGTTATATCGAAAAAGGCAGTGTACCAAATAAATAAACTGCAATAGATGCAACATCTCAGGGTGTTTAATGCATCGGTTTACCTCTCAGTTACAACGCAAGTTCTCATTAAGCAGATGAACAATTCTGTGAAGGTTATAGGCTTTCTTTCTCCTTCTTTCTTATCTCCTCACACTATGACTGCATTATTTATAGCGCTCAAGTGATTTACAAAACGTGTGCTTTAGACACTGTCTGTGCAGAAACCAAATGCAGTGTCACATTTTAAGTACTCTTCTAACTGTTACAGAAAAGCAGTCCCTTGGGCATTTTTAAGACATAAAGACGTAAAATCATTCTGTCATTTGATTCGCAGCCATAGGTCCAGGCTGCTGGGGGATTCCCATGATGCACTGAGTGTTTCTTCTTCAGTTACCTTTTTCACTCATGATGCATTTATATACCTGCATTTAATTAGCTATTACTCATCTCTGGCTCTCTTTCACAGTATGTCTCTGTCCTGTCTTCATCTGCTCACCCCCAACCGGTCGCGGCAGATGACCGCCCCTCCCTGACTCTGGTTCTGCTGGAGGTTTCTTCCTGTTTAATGAAAGTTTTTCCTTCCCACTGTTGCAAAAGCACTTGCTCATAGGAGGTTCATATGATTGTTTGGGTTTTCTCATGTATTATTGTAGGTTCTTTACCTTACAATATAAAGCACCTTGAGGCAACTGCTGTTGTAATATGGTGCTATATAAATAAAATAAAAGTGAATTGCACTGAATTAATTTGGACTTACTAAAAATGTTTTAGCATTTTTGAAAGGCTGCAATGGGAAAATCTGTCTGAGTGTTTGAAAGTGAGACTTTGCCACGAGGCCAAGATTGAGGATACAGAATAATCTGCATTTGGCTGCCCAAATAAACTAATTAAGTACAAAGAGAAATTCGCATTTCAGCTTTGAAGAAGTAGCAGTGAAAGATTATCTACTCGTGGAATGACGTCAAAGCCTCCATGTGGAGTCAAAGATCGCCTTAGCCACCAGCACTGACCATTATCAGCAAGAAGGCTTATGTGTATCCTCCAAAAAAAAACCCACCGACTGTGTGTGTGTGTGTGTATGTGTTCACAAAAACAACTGCATAGAAGGGCTCCATCTATGTTTGTGTGAGTGCAATGTGAGCACGAGTCTGTACATACAGTGTGTATGTGTGTTTTCCTGAGCACACACAGACACACAAGCATACATCACCAAACAAGAAAGAGGCATCTCTTCACCTTGGTCAACCTTCTCCAGAGTTACAGGGTCCTCTGCAGTTTGAAGCATCCCTGGGGACAGAGAAGATATGACAGAGCAGATTTTAAAAGGCATACTTCAAAAACCACATGCACTCTTGCTTCTGCACAGAAGTACAGGAGGAAAAAATTTAATGTTATTATGCAAAAAAAAAAAAAAAGGATGAAATAGGACAAAATAGAAAATACAAATTACAGAGACATTAGATGGGGCTTCATGCTAATAAAGATCTATTTGATCATACTGTACAGGGTACTCTACCTTGCATTAGCTTTGCTGGACATCAAAGATAAAGTACTATCTTAAAAGCATGTTAAAAAAAACCAACTCAGTGTAGTGATGAATGTAAGGCATATTTTTTATTGGATTATGCTCAGACGGAGAAGCACAATTCATGCAGACAATCCCACAAGAACTCTAATAGCTCTTTTAACGTCTTGTCAGATTGGTCAGAGCTTTTATGGCTTAGCATTTTGCCACACATCCTCTTATTGTGCTAATTTGATTAGAGCTTAAATGGTTTCAACATAGCACTTAATGCGGCAACCTAATAATCCTCCAATGAGGAAGTTATCAATAAAACCCTCGGATGATCTAGCATTAAAAAAACATACAGAGGTTCAATTATAGCAGTGTAACATTTGCAATAGAGGAGTCAGTAATTTAGTGTTGTGAGGATAATGAAACACAATGCAGGTCTATATATTAACAGTCTTACTGGCTCCACTGGGATTTTCACGGCACTGGTGACTTTACATATAACCAACATAAAGCTTAAGGACTAACTCATTCCATATTTAAAGATCCTCAAAAATTATTGCTGTCATGTCATCCGATATGTTGACACAGAGAATTATTCACGGTACAGGAGTCAAAATAACTTACGCTACAACTTAAATGCAAACAAGAAATCACAAATAATGAAAGTCTTGATAGTTTTATATGTTATATACTTTTGTTAATAGCTTGTATTTTGTGTCTTTAAATCAAACATTTCAGAAATAATTTCAGAAACCCCGTCATAGTTAAAAGCAAAGCTGTCCACTAGCCTGCAGCCCATGCTAATGATTTTTTTTTTCGGTGGCTACTTAGTTTGATGATTCCATCTATGAAATGAGATTTAATGTGGCTGTCATTAAAAATGAAAATCGGTTACATATACAGCACTTAATTAAGGCCCAAATTACTGCATCACATCAAAGTCACAAATCAGTATAATGGTTTAATCACACCACCGATGACAAGCACACTTCTCCAAAGAAAGGAAAAGTAGTAAACTCAAGGTTAACTGCATTATCGGCATGGATCTTTTTTTTTTTTTTTTAAATGAAATCAACCCAAAAACTATTATGTTCAGTAGTGTGAATATTTCTGTACCGTGTTCTGGTTGATTGCTAAGATCAATTGTTCCCTCTGTTCAGCCTGACCTTGCAGAAAAGCTGTAATGCGACTGCACCACCAATACAACAGTGGACTAACACAGTGGTGATTAGCTTCAAGGAGTGCAAATGTTAAACAATCAAGCTCGAGCTAGTGAGAAAACAGCCAGTGATGGTTAGGACTGTCAGTACTGACTGAAGGTCTGTGCACTGCAATAGTACTGTTGATGCTCCTTGTTTTCTAAGTGCATTCCAGTCTGATTTTGCCTACCTAGCATAAAACGGTTTGCACCTTTAGAGAGATAGCAAGTGAGAGGTGAAAGTCCAGCTCTTCACATTCGCCCTTGCTAGACATTCCTTCTGTTTGTAATCTGCTGCATGTGTTACTATTTCTCACCCAATAGTTTGGCTGTAAAATGCAGACAGACTCTGTGGTCTTGTTGGAGCAGCTCTCTCAAAGCCCCCGGAGAACACTTCAGCACTCCACTTACACTGGACAAGGCAGAAGACTTCCTCACAGACTGCATCCCACAGACAAGCGTGTAGGAGGAGAGATATAGGAGGGTAAATAAAGCTCCCGCTGAGCATCAAGGGAAATTAACAGCATAATGCAATTTTCATACACATTTCCCAATCCCTCCTAAAGGTTGTGCAAGATAATGTAAAGCCACAGCAAACAGCTACAACATGGAGATGTATATAAATATATTTCTTCTCACTGCTATGTCTTCATCGTCAATCATTTCAATGAGGCAGGCCACACAGAGCAGCAGCCCGCCTCCCTCCACAGGCCCAAGGCGCCTACTCCACTTTGGGTCATGTCTGAAGTGGATCTTCTTGCAAACTATGTCCCTGCTTGTCATCCTATTTGTTTTGCCTGTTCAGACAGAAAGACCACAACACCATTTTATACAAAACTGCAGGCGAGCAAAAGTGCTAGCAAGCTATTGTATTACCTAGCGCTACATGCTAACTATAATGTTAGCACTAGCTAAAGTTAATTTATGACTTAGCAAGCCATAATTTTCCTTAAAAACAGATGTTTTTGAAGATTTCTCTTAAAACCTTCAAAAACATCTGTTTTTAAGGAAAATTGTGGCCAGCTAAGTTATAAATTACCTAGCGCTACATGCTAACTATATTGTTAGCACTAGCTAGAGTTAATTTATAACTTAACTAGCCATGATTTTCCTTAAAAACAGATGTTTTTGAAGATTTCTATTAAAACAAATGCTATTGACAAACTCTAATAACCACAAAATATGTGTAATAAACTGTAAACTGACCTTTGCTAACAATATATATCAGACCGGAACTGTGCAGAAATGATGGCTAAAGTCAAAACCCCAAACTTTATTGAACATTACAGTACAGTAGGTTACCAAAATAATTCCAAACACTGTTGTACTAATAAAAAATGCATTTATGATGTAAAACATTTTAATATTATAATGATACTATAAAAATTGATATTTATAAACAAATATATGATACAAAAACTTAAGATGTATATTTATTAAATAACTAAATTCTCCTGTGAAGCCTCCTTCAAAATTTACCTTAACGTTATGTGCTGGTTTTAAAATAAACAAAAAAAAGAGGCCAAAATCTGACAAAAAGATAACACAGGACAATATATTAATATCTTTAAGAGTGGTTTTACTCATATTAGCAAGTGTTATGTTGAAAGGTAACCTACCTTATTTAAAAACCACAAAAAGAGCTGGAACTGTACACACCCACATATCTGCAGATGACCTAATGGATTTATCTGTTATCTTTAAATGTGTATGATAATAAAAATGCAAATGAAACCACTCTGGAATAGTGCAAGTACATGACCATAGTTGTAAACTGGTTATATATGAATAACTTAATGTAAATGTATGAAAAAAAAGATAACATACAAAGATACAAGCATTTTTTCTGGTTGTTATTTCGCTCTTTTTACTAGAAAGATCCCTGTGTTGAACAATAGTGCATGAAGATAATGTTCTGGCAAATAATGATAATTATCTGAAATGCTATGATCATTTTTGCTGCAGTTATTGGAACTTTTCAATTTCGTGTACTTATGGGAAATGCTTGCCTCATCGTTACACTCATACTTGCTTTTTGTTTTGTTTTGGGGGTTTTTTTAAACATAAATTCACATGAAACAGCTGCTTAGGTCCCATATTTCTTGCTGATGAACATTGGAGCTCAGTACATTGTACTGCAATAATATTAAAAGTCCAATTAAATCAACAGTCTCTAACATTCAGAGGAAGCCTGATGGTGTATGTTTGAGCAAATCCATGCACAATTACCCTCACAATTATATATCAAAACCAATTTACCCTCCAAGGAATATCTTAGCTGATCGTTATGCTGAGACGTGTGTCTAAGTATCATTTAGCTGTGAAGGCCACAATTTGGTTATCACCATGACAACAAAAGCCTCTGGGCAACTGAGCCACTGTGTGATGATAGGTGTGTGGGGGCGAGTATCAGCTACTACCGACATGTCGATTTATAATCTCCCTCTGCTTCTCTTTAAGCAGAGTTCAGTGCGCATCAAAGCATCACACGTGTGGCCAGCTCAGCACTCCGCGCTTCTGTCTCTCAGTGACGGTGTAAATGAGTGCGCAGAGAGATAAACCCTCTCAGAGTTCAATATATGTAACCTTTGACAAATGTGCTGCGCTCCAGCAAACATATTTTAGGCAAAGTGTAGCTACTGCGCTGGGTCTGTGTGTGTGCAGGAAGTGGTCAGATGGTTTTGTTTCTTCTGGTTGACTGAGAAGAGTCAGACAAGATATCGGTTTATAAATTTGTGCCAGGACAGCAGCTAAATCCATCAGTCTGTGGCTTTTTATTTCCCCCCTGAGAGAGGCAAATATAACACAAAGAGACGGGGAGCCTTTCTCGCTGCTCAGGTAAACGGGATGCATAATCTGTCAACTTTATTTGACAACTGCTTTACATTTACTTCAAGGGGGCCGCGGTTCAGGGCGAAGACAAATGGTTTGGAAACAACTCCTTTCTCCTTTCTGAGCACAAGTGGGGGGGCATAGCATGAGAACAGTTTTCACACCGTTGCCTGGCCTTTCTTTCCCTTGTCTCGAACCACTTCCTCTGCCCCTGCGAAAGCCATTAATGGGGGTGTTGTGGTAATCAAAAAATAGCTCTATAAATTTGTCCATTATCTTCAGCCTACGCTTGATCATATCACCAGCGTCCTTGAACTGCAACACGCTGTTACACAGAGGCAACAATTTTTATTTTCAGTAGTGGCTGGCATCATCAATTCACTGACTGCTCACAGCAATACACTGGCTAGGATTATCTACTCAAGGATCTGCGCTACTCATCACCCGGTAAACCTAAACAGAGTGTTTAAACCACAGCATCATTATATTGTTACTGAGCTCATTTACTTCAAATAAATAAACGGGCCACTTCATGTAAACCTAGCAGTGTTTTTATGACGCAACACTGCTTCTAAATATGTTCTCAAAAAAAGGAGAAAAAAAAAGTTTGGTTCAGAGAAATGATCGCAGATCGGAAGTGGGCGGAACGGGGAAAATGTGCGTGTGAGTCGGCTGTGGGAGGCTCGCCGGTCTGTCGCTCGTCTGTAGCGCTCAGGTGCGCTTCATCCTCACTCAGAGGTGAAAACTTTCCGAAACCGCTACCATGGATTATAAGATATCAGCAGGCAGTCATTTATGAAAATACAGTGAAATATGTTGAAGCATCGCGGCAGCGTCGGAGGAAAGCCCGATTAAAGCCGTTAAAGTCCTCTGTGACGGTAAGAGACCGAAAACTCTCAGTTATGTTTTTAACTCGGTGAAACGGGAACTTAAACTTTGGATGTTTGATCATTTGTGCTGTTTTTGTGGCTATAATGTGGCATACATTGCGTCACATGTTGGTTAGATATGATATAGCAAAGTTTTTTATACACATATTTAAAGTTTTATTTTAATAAGACCTATACATTTTCTCAAAATAGACCAAAATAGGCTTGCCTTCTGTTACTGTTTTCAAATTGAAACTTTTACTCTGAAACATAGCCTGTAAGATCGTTTATGTTCATTTTAATTTGTCCTGCTGAATAATCAGAGAAGCACATATAACTTCAGTGTGCAGGCACAAAGTGAAGTCATGTTTTAACAACAGCCCTTAAACTGAAACTCTTTGGGCCTCATTCATACAAATTCATGTGTCCTGGTCTGATCCCCTAGTTGTGAAGTACTTCCACTCCACCAGTCCTGGTGGAGTGGAAGGACTGAAGACCCAGGCAAATGTGTTGCATTACTTCCTGGGGGATCTGAAATGTTAGTCATCAAATGTTTCCATAGAGCCACAGCAAACTCACAAACCGGAAAGACTTTTGCAAAATATGCAGCACACTCAGCTCTCTTGGCCACAGTACAGAGAGGTAAGAAAACCCCCCCAGTTTGAGACATGAAATAAAACCACAGTGAATCTATTGTATACTTTCTGTTTATGGGTCAGACTGGAGCATCTTACTCTTTAGCCTGCTTACATAACCGCTGTTTGCTAGACTGCAGGTTGAACATGTGCAAACACTTTTTCTTGTTTTGCCTTATCTTCAGGCAGACTCAAGAAAAAAGTAGAAGAAGAAAAAAAGCAAACAAACACTACGGCTCTCTAAATGACTCATCAGCACTTTCCACAGTTGATGTAAGGCAGAGTAAACAAATTGGGGAAGCTGCACCGACAACAGTGGCTGCTTTTACCCCTATAGTCCCGCATCCACGTATATAGACAGTGCAGGTACTGTGCGAGCTGTGATCTGCGACGTGACGTGTCACTCAGATGTCATCCTGGTCAAAGGCCCCAGGTGTTGTCCTCAGGTAGCACCAACCAGGGGAGTATTTGCTTTCAGACAAGGACAACCACCAATGCTCAGCCCTGGGTCTGAGTGTCTCGCTTTCACAAAGATGCTTTTGATATAATAAGCTCAGGACAGTGATGCAAATCAAAACGGCACCGAGATCAGTTTTAACCTGGAGGACGGTGAAAAGAGAGGATAGACAGAAAGTGGCACTGAAAACGACCTGCTGACTGAAGAGGAGGGGGAATTTCAGACGGTGCCCAAAGTTAAAAAAACAAGCAAACTGCAAGACAGATTTTCATGCACAAAAAAGTGACTGACTGTAATGATGCAAAGCCAATGGAATTGATAATGAACCATCATTACCGCGGTGGTGATGGATTTTCATCTTCATGCGGATGATGGGAGCGTATTCGAGTTTATTAGCAGGAAAGAATCCTGGCTCTTCCACGCGATCCTGCCTTCCTTTCTTCCACTAATTAGATTGATGCGTCTGTTGCCTCGCGTGCTGGAAAACTCCATTCAGAGTGAATAAAACCGTGTCACATAATCGCGGGTAAAAAGATGAACAAAGGGGAGAATAGTGCAAGGCACAAAAATAAATGCTTCGAGGCATTTTCATCTAGTCTGTACAGGGATAGTAACTCTTATCCATTTATCCACCCACACAACACAAGTACTTTCGCTCAGTACTTCAAGTCAGCATCAATTTTTTCTGTAACGTTGAAAAAGTCTAACTGTGTGTTCTTCTTTTGTTTCCCTCTTTGTATTTCTCACCTTATTCTTTAATCAAGGTTTCCACTGACTTTTATCTTTTAATACTCTCTCCTCTCTATCTGGCTCTAAAGCTGGACTCTTAAACTCTGTTTTTCCTCCAGCCTTTCACACTATCTCTCCAACTTTTTCTTCAACCATCCCCTGTTCCCACGTAGCTCACATCCTCTCCTGCTCTCGCCTGTCCTATTTCAGACCTTTACTTTCTTCTCTTGTCATGTCTGTATCCATGAGGAACCCACCGCAGCGCCGGCGCTCTCTAGGTCCCGTCTCGCCCAAACGCATCTACAGAAACCTGTCCTTCAGACTCAGGGGGGGCGGAGAGTCATCTGTTGCCGCCGACTTGGATGCGCCTAAACGCCCCAGCAAGTCTGCAGATGCTGTAAGATATCCAGGTGCCATTCTGAAAGGGAGCTTTGGTCACGTTGACTGAAATGTCATCTGCCTTGGTTTCTGTTACGGTTAAAAACTATGAGATCTCTACTTAACATTACACGCTATCTCTGTGTCACTAACCTCCAGAGACCTGACCACATATTTTGTGGACACGTGTCTCTCAAGTGTATCCCAATAGGCGAGCAGACTCATTGTTAGATGTCTCACGTGTGAGGCTGTCACCATCGTCAAACTGACTCCTACTGTAGTTTGACAGCCACATTTTATGGGAGCAAGAGATTAAAAAAAAAATCAAAGCTAGTTTCAGAAAAGAAATCAGTCCTCTGTGACAAAGCATTGTAAGCTTTAAAGCAGACCTATTCGGTTGACCTTATTTCCTGTCATATATTCTGTCATATATATTATTCATATATTAAATGGTAGATTCGCATACTAAACGTGGTTGTGGTCAGCATATGTGTAAGTAATCCCTGTGAACCCAAATCCCCTCTTTTTAATTCACTTCAACTCAATTTTATTTACATAGCTCCAAATCGCAACAACAGTTGCTTTAAGGTGCTTTACATTGTGATGTAACAACAATACAGAAAATACCCCAACAATGAAACGACTGTGAGCAAACACTTGGCGACAGTGGAAAGGAAAAACTCCCTTTTAACAGGAGGAAACCTCTTGCAGAAATAGCCTCCGGTTGGGTATTTTAAAACACATTTCTCTTTCTGTTACTGGCTCTGTGTGGCGGCGCAAAGAGCTGTGAGCGCAGAAACCCACAACGTCTGCTCTTCATCCCTTCTGTTTACGAACAGAGCGGCTGCACAAAGGCTAAATATATAGTAACGACTGATTACTTTGAACTGTGAACTGTGCATGCGTTGTCATGTATGCAGTGCATGGGCAGTTATCTGAAGCTTGCCATTAGTTTATTTAGGGATTGGTTAATTGATTTTCTTGATTGGCTCACAGCCCTGACACACACTGGCTGTTGCTCATAGTTTGATCTCCCAGGTCCCTTTCAAATATTTTTGAGCTTGTTGAGTATGTGTCAAAAAACACTGTGTGTTCAGGTAAGATTTTATAGTTTTAACATCTGCTTAAAAAAAAAAAAAACTAAAACAAAACAAAAAAACTGAATCCTTGAAGTTCAGCATTAAAATTTTCCAGTCTTCTTTTATTTTATTGAGAAATTCCCTAACGTCCACTGCACAGGGCATTACATTGCACTGGGAAAAAATGCTTTCAGAAAAGGAAATCACTCTCAAGCACCCTCTGTTATATAAAGCTGCTCCTGCTGCTGCTTCATATAATAATAATAATAATAAGAGCAATTCTCAAACTTTCCTGGTCTCAGGAGGCTCCTGTATAAAGCATCAGTCGAGGCACCTTTGGTTTATGATTTGATTTGTGTCCGATATCATTCTCCTTTTTAACGCTCCCTTCTCTTTACTGCGGGAAATAAATCTCTCTATCCTTCTTAACCCCCTTTCTCTTTCTCTATCTCGTTCCTCCACCTGCCTACCCTCCCGTGGCCCTGCACCCTTTCTCCTGCTCCCCATTAGTACAAGACCCTGTGGGAGGCAGTGGAAAATGAGGATACACTGGCTGTACAAAGCCTTCTGTCCAGAGACTGCAGCAGCGGTGGAGGAGGCGGAGGCGTATGGGAGAAAGGAGAGAAAAAAGAGAGGGACTGGGAGAGGGACCGGGAGAAAGGGGTGAACAGAGTGAGTGAACAGGGGCTGGTCCCCCTGGATGTGGCTGCGCTAACCCACAATTCTCCTCTGCTTCATGTACTGACAAAGGCAGGAGCCAGACACAACCCTGTTTGTAAGTCTTTTCATGTAAAATGTCAAAAGTAATGGTGTAAAATCAGATTCTGTACGGCTTGACTTTAATTCAGATTATGCCCTTTGTCTTGCTTCCTGTGCTCGTCCTGCACCCCTCAGTGTGCCGACCAGCGGAGTGGGCACTCAAGCTGGACGCTCTGGTGGCCTTGGCAGATAAACGGACAGAAGAGAGGAAGACGGAGTTAGCGAAAAAGGCCGGGGCAGGCCCTCAGGCACAGGCTGATCTTCAGAGGCACATCCAGCTCTGGAGGCTGCGTCAGCAGCTGTACTATCGGATGAGAGAGAACTTCCAGAACACAGGTCAGCGGTCAGCATGTGGTATTTCACTGTTTCACTGCTTAGCACTCAAACTCAGATCAGTTTTCTTTCTGTTTTCAGTGAGCTCTCGCTCGTTTTTCCCCCTCATTCTTTATTTCTGCTCTCATAATAAAACTTTTTCTGCAGCCAGCGCAGTACTTTCCTGCCAATTTAACTCTACAAAGCCACCCGCCACTGCTGACAAGACGGCAGTGATCAAGTTTTCAGCTCAACATCTTGCTTAAGTTTTACTAAAACTCTCCCTCTAGCCTCTTTCATCTCATCCAACATTCAGCAGACTGCTGTGTCATCAGCCTTTCAAATCCTCTCCTTCCCTGCACTCCCTCCACTGGCTGCCTGTTTCAAATAAACCCTCGCAGCTGTAGATTTCAGTAGAAATTCACACGTGCAAAAACCTTCAAGACTTCGGCGAATCACGCGTCGACGCATCGGGCAACTTACCATCCTCTGCACCACCTGCTCAAGCCTTTTCCTCTTGGTTCTCTGTTGGGCTAATTTTTTTTTTGTCTTATTTTTTTCAGATTTATATTGCAATGTTCCCCGCTGTACCAACTTTAACAGCTCTTTATAAACGTCTCTCCTTAGCTCTCGTTTCATTTCTCTTTCAAGCACAGCCAATTCTCTCTCTGACTGTTTTATTATCGCAGCGTTATTGTAAGGGCAGCGAGGCCCCGGCGCTTGTTTTCATGTGCAGTGAAATTAAACTAACTCTTATTGTAAATCTCGCTGGGTAGGAGAGCCGGATGGCATCTTTAAATATAAAATATGGATGTGTTTTTGTCTGACGACTGTGACTTACTTATGGTAATGTTTTCACTCAAGATTACATCTTAGGCTGAAGAAACTGAAACACAGTTAGATTTAATCATCAAACTCTGGCAGCGTTTTAAGGTACAATTGTGATAATAAAAAGCTCCAAGATTGTCTTGAAACAACACAGAGTTTGCAGGGAATACAATTTTTAACCCTGTAAAGCCTGAGCCATGAAATAATTGACCCAAAATTCAAAGTTTTTGAATCTGGAATGTTTATTCAAGCATCCTTTTTCACAAAATCTGGTATTTTTGTGCAATTTATTTAGGTTTTTCAGGAGAAAGATCTTCACTGATGATGTAAATAAATAGCGCACAAATACACAAACTTTGTAAGTGTATTTACTGCATACAGCAACCATTTGTAGATAGTAGAAGCATATAGTTTTTTTTTCTAATTTATTTATTTTTCTGTTTTTAATACAGTTTAATTCACTTTGTCTTGTTGGCCCTTGTGCTGCTGTAACATGTGAATTTCCCCAGTGTGGGATTAATAAAGTCTGTCTATGATACAGTTGGCCCTACAGTGTTGACATCAGTCTGGAACAGTCTGATTCATATAATTTTTCAGTAGCCAGCTGCTAA